GAGTACTCTTTCTAAAGGCATTGCCCTTTAGAAATGGACAGTGATTTAGTGTCTGTAAGGATATCAGTAGGCCACCTTCTAGCATCTCTATTAACCAAGTTTCTGTAAGATTTTTTTCTCTCTTCCCGAATGAGTCATGAATTACATACATCTATGTATATATGTAATATGTTCTTCTTTCCTATCATATCATACTCCACCCGTTAAAGGTTGACAAGTGCCCACGGAAGTTTTGTCACAGTCACAGCACTAAAATCCAGGACTTGCCGGGTCTTTCATGGATATTGGTTCAGAACAGATTTAAAGCCAAGTCTGCAAGAGCACAAGTTGAAATCGTTTTCTATGCCAGATTCCCCAAAACAGGATCTCCAACTTTAAAGGGTAGTAGTTCAAATAAGTAACTTAGATAGAAACAGTACCACAACATCAAAATATAAGGTGTCACTTTTATCATAGATTATACCACGTAAAATCCAAAAAGGTAGGTTAGTAACAACATGATCCTCAAACACTGCCTAGGCCTCATATAGCCTGTGTCAAATTTAAGCTTCTCTTGTGGTGGTGCTTGGGAATTGACATAATTGTCAAAATTGTCTTTGAGTGGTTGCATAATTGTCCCACTTTGTCATTTGTATTATAATATTAGTATTGATTTTGTCTAAGGGCTAAGGCTTCATCATTCTCTACCGTTCAGAAGATTAGTGAATGCGATGTAATTGTCCATGAATAAAAACTAGGGTGAACTTATATAATCTTTGGCTACAAATGATATGTCATCATCACTTGTCGTTTGTCGTACTGAATTATTAGATACTTCGTTTCTTTCTACAGCGACATTGAAAGCAATGAATGTTTGACACGTATGTTTGTGACCAGTGTTTGATGAGATCCTTGGAAAATCGAGTTCATGTGCCGATCATCCCTTATTAGTTTATTTCATATGCGCTACAAACATCTTTTTGTTATTTTCAAGTTGAAGTAAAGAACTATTTGTCGTGTGCTCAATGGTTCTCCCCACTCCCCACTACTAATTACTAGCTTACAATCTTGACAAATAAATATATGCGTTTAGAATTAAAAAAATACTCTTTTTTATAGTTCATTAAAAATTATATTCATTTTCCCTTAAAAGAAATGATTCATGTTAAGATTTAATCAATTCTAAATTATAGTTATATTAAGGGTGTTCGCGATCTGAATTAGATCGGTTTTGAAGCAAAAATTATTTTATCCAATTCTTTTGGTTTGATTATTTAATTATCTATTCGATTTGGATTTTTTTTAAATAGCCTAAAATTTTAGTCATACAAATTATTAATTATATCAAAATGAAGTCATACAAAGTTACAAACAACTGTCTACAAAACAATAAGATTCCAAGACACCATCTTTCTCTTCCATGCTTCATTCTTTGAGCTTGCTCAATGCTCACTTTGTGATCTTCAAAACAACCAGCAAGAGAACAACTTTCATGAAAATAAAAGATTAAGAGAGGGTTCAAGTAACAACAAATTTAAAATAAATACATGAACAATTGAAATTAAAAAATAGCAACTTACATCATCAAGTTTTAATCAAAATTCACACCAGAATCATTATCAACTTCTGTATTTGGAGAAATATTTGAAATAATTATAATAAAAATAATTTTAGCAACTTAATAATTAGAAAAATAAAAAGATAACATAAAATTAAAAAAAATATACAAGTAGAATAAAGTAAACTATCTATCTCTATCTTTACACATTCTTCTATAAGCTCTCCTACATCATTGGAAAAAGAAGTTGACAAGAACCAATTTTATATACAAATTAATACTTTAACTGTCTTTGGAGTACGAGAACTCCTGTAGTTGTTAAGAATTCTACTCCAGTACTGAATGTAGATTCTAAAGCAACTATAGATTAGATCAATTTGGATTGGATCGATTTCACAAATCAAATTGAAAATCGATTTAATCCAATTAAAATGTGTGATTTTTTTTGATTTTCGATTTTTCAATTCGATTACCACAATTTCAATTGGTTTGGATCGATTAATGAATATCTTAATTAAAAATATTTCAAAACAAAAGTTTATTTCGATAAATTATTCAAGACGTAAGTTTTTTTAGCTTCATTAAGTCCATCAAAATTTAAGATACACTGGTATGTGTGGTTCACTTAAATATGTGTGTGCGACAGAGGCAGACGTCACCTCACCTAGGACTTGCTAACTTAATTACTCTTTTGACTAAGTAAGTCCACTTGACACTTTGTAGGGAATAAATTTTTGGTACTACTGCTGTACCTAAGATTCAGTACATTTCATCAATGAAAATATTATATGTCAGTTAATTTTTTTTTCTGTCAAATTTTTTTTCTCTCCTCTGATGTGTATTGCTGTTATTGATGAGATACACTGAATCTAGGTACAACAGTAGTACCAAAGATTTACGAAGGATCTACTGCTTTCTTTTTCGAAAAGGATGTGAACAGTGTACGAGGTTGGTTAGGAGTGAAAAAATATCCAAGTGATCGTGGCCAAAATACATTGTCTAATGGGTCATTATATCCCTAAATATCAACATGGAAAGAAAATTATGCAATAATTGACAAAGACAGAATAATAACTAGGTATCATGAAGGAGATAATAAAACCAGAGTCATCAATTTACTAATTATGTTTTGGGCTACTAACTGACTTAGGGCCCAACATTGACACGTTGCATTATGAAAACTTCGGGAATATGAAAAAAAATTAAAATCAACTGAACCGAATTAAGAAATGAATCGAACTGCGTTAAAAAAAAATATCATATTTTCTGAACTAATTTAATAATCTAATCATTTCATGTAACCGAAACACTTTGTACAAATTGGTTCTTTTGTCTTTAACTACTAGTATTTATTTTATTTTTTTAAATATTTATCTTTTTAAAGGATAAATTTACTATTTATGTTTTGGGCTACTAACTGACTTAGGGCCCAACATCGACACGTTGCATTATGAAAACTTCGGGAGTATGAAAAAAATTAAAAACAACTAAACCGAATTAAGAAATGAATCGAATCGTGTTAAAAAAAATCATATTTTCTGAACTAATTTAATAATCTAATCATTTCATGTAACCGAAACACTTTGTACAAATTGGTTCTTTTGTCTTTAACTACTAGTATTTATTTTATTTTTTTTAAATATTTATCTTTTTAAAGGATAAATTTACTATTTATGTTTTGGGCTACTAACTGACTTAGGGCCCAACATCGACACGTTGCATTATGAAAACTACGGGAGTATGAAAAAAATTAAAAACAACTGAACCGAATTAAGAAATGAATCGAACTGCGTTAAAAAAAAAATCATATTTTCTGAACTAATTTAATAATCTAATCATTTCATGTAACCGAATCACTTTGTACAAATTGGTTCTTTTGTCTTTAACTACTAGTATTTTTATTTTTTTAAAATATTTATCTTTTTAAAAGATATAATTTTGTGTCATTTTAGATTCTAACCGTTGATTTTAATAAATCAACAGTTAAAATTTATTGAATTTTACTGCGAGTTACTAATTAATTAATAAATTTGACCAATAAATCCTAATCATTGATATCAGTTTGTATTCATTTATAAAATTGATTTCCCACCTTCAAAATGCTTCAATGATAAAATTTTAAATACTGTTTTGGTTTCTTAAATTTGTATTAATTTATATTTTGATCCTTACAATTTTTTTTCGAAGATATCAGTTTTCATATTTTTATTTATTTGAACTTTAGTCTCTTAGAAATCATATTAAAATTAAAAAATTATATAAACTTTTTTATATAAAAAATAAAAACTGATATCTTAATGAATAAAAACTAAATATACAAAAATATAATAACGGATACTTTAACAGTAAAAAGCAAGAGATGATTTTTTTTTTTTTTTGGAGTTACCCAACCTTAATTATTTCTTTGAGATGAGTTGGCTCCCTCCGGTATCCCCACGAGTTTCGACTCTTTGAGTCGGCTATGAGACTAATCTGGAGTGCGGGGGAACAATGATGGCTAAAGGTTCAGCCCCTCCACAAGAATGCATTCAGCGGGAATCGAACACATATCCAACCCCACTAACTCAGCGCCAAATTACCAACTGAGCTGCACCCATTGGGTAAAGAGAGGATTCTCTAACATCCAAAAACACACACTTCATGTATTATATCAAGGGTTATATTTATCTCATTTTATATAAGATAAATAATTTTCTTATACACACAAAAGAGAGATGGGTTCCACTATTTTTCTCTCTCTTTTCTCATTCCGCTTGTAATTTTATTTCTACAACATAAAATAACTATTTTCCTACAACATAATAAAAGTATTTCCCTTTAACAAATATTACATTACAAACTAAATGTTTTGACCGGTAAGTTTGTAATTTTTTTTCTTATCAATATAACTGTACTCTATATCAAAAGTTAAATCAGTAAAAGTGATAGGGATTAAAATCTTATTTGGAAAAAGTATTTCCCATTATCAAATAACTAATTTATTTCTACAACATGAAATAACTACTTTCCTACGACATAATAAAAATATTTTCCTTTATCAAATATATTACATTACAAACTAAATGTTTTGACCGGTAAGTTTATAATTTTTTTTTTTATCAATATAACTGTACCCTATATCAAAAGTTAAATCAGTAAAAATGATGGGGATTAAAATCTTATTTGAAAAAAGTATTTGTCATATTAAATGACATAAAGTTATATCATTTTAAAAAAAAGATAGACATATAATAATATTTTTTATTTAAAATTTAAATTTAAAAAAAATCAATCTCTTTCTCTTCCATAATTTTCATTCCTCATGTATATCTCTCTCTTTTAAAATGACATAATTTGTGCGTATCATTTAAACGACAAACATCAAATCCATCTTATTTATATATAAAAAAAAAAAAGAGAGGCAACGACTGGTCGTTTAATATTTGAAGAAGTCGTCATCAATCAGTTCTGGAAGTGAGATTGGGCTTAAACTTAAACCCTGGTTGCTAAGGTTGTGGAATCTGTGCCTTCCTTCACCAGTATCCCCATTTCTGAACTGAAATGGCAGCTTTCTTGAGGAGGGTTGTTAGGGCCACTCCGATCGCATCATTCAGTGGCCAATCCAAGTCCTCTTACACTAATTTCCGGTTACCCTTTACTGCTATTGCCGCCATTTCCGGCGGAGTCTCCTACCTTTACTACTGTTCCTCTCCCAACCTGGTAACTGTTCTTTTTCTTCACCACCAATTTTATTTTCAGGGCTTTGACTTTTATCTACTCATTTGGGAATCCCTTTTTAACTTTTCCTTCAAACTTCTTATTTTATTTACCAAGATCATTTCTTTCTTTCTTTCTTTCTTTTATGCCTTTTTTGTGTTGTGCTCGTCTTATGTGTTAATTCAATTTTTTTTTGTAATGAATGTGTATGGAGTAAATCAAGTTGTCGTGTTGACTGTTTGCAGGTTCATTCGCAACAAGTAGAAGAGGAAAGTAAAAATATTGGTGAGTATCGTTCCTGGGTTGGCATGAATATCATTGTATGTGACTGACCTCTGTGGATATAAAATAATGGTGTGACCTATCTAATCTTGAGAGTTGTGATGAGCAGCGTTGAAGGTTTTGGATTGTACTTTAGAGATGAATTATTGTTGCATTGCAAATATATTTTTCTCCCTATAAATATGAATTATTGTTTCATACCTTGCATTGTGATTTATGATTTCCTTCCATTTCCAATGCATGACTAAGTTTTTTTTTTTCGTTGGGGGTATTTTCAGCACTTGTTCCGGAGAAATGGGTCGAATTTAAGTTGCAAGACACTGCCAGGGTTAGTCACAATACCCATTTATTCAGGTATATCCTATAGGACAAATCATGAATGGGCATACGTTTAAATACCTCATCATATCATGTTAAATGTAATACTCTGTATTCATGTGATGTTGTATTTCTTTTGCTTTCTCCTTTAACTTCGTTGGTTCATCTTTTAACAAGTTGTTCATGTCATGTTACCCTCATGGAGTGAAATGTGGGTATGTATTTTGCCAGAGAAACAGTTAATTCTAACCCTGCATGCAAACTTAGCTAAGAGATGTACCTCATACCCTCTGTGGAGCTGAATGCATACACAATACACTGTTCCAAACTATAGTCAATACTCAGTTCTTCAATAAATAAAAGTGTCTGGTGTGTGTTGGAGCTAAAATGATGCTGTGGATGGCAGAGTCTTTGTAGTCCTCAACTTACCATGCTATATTCTTAAATCAATGTTCTTGCTTTCTAGGAGAAGTCTGGGCATGATTTCCATGAGATGAGAGAAGCAATTAAGATAAACATTTTAGTCTTAAATTTCATTCAAAATCCTTAATTTTAAGTCTAAATTATCTTATCTGATTAATTATAAATTGTATTAATGGTGTTTATACTCTATCTATCAAATATCAGTAATGAAGCTGTGTTCCATATCACGTCCACTCTAAATTTTTTGTTACTTTAGTTTTCTAAGAAATTCATTTGTAAAAAAATGCATGTATCATAATGTGCACTACAATTGAAGCATAAACTGCTAATTCAGAGATCATATCAGATAAGATGTGGAATCATCATTGTTGGACGTATTCATTATCAAATAGTTAAATCAACTAAATTTTCTCAATACTACTTTAATTGCATATTTGTATCAATGAAGCACCGATACTCATGAATTTTTTTTTCCAACGTATCCGATACGTATCGTATCAACGAATTAACGGTCGTATCAAGAACGTATCGAAAACGCCGTATCGGAGTCGGTGCTTCATAGATTTGTATGTGTGCAAATGCCTTAACAGGTTTAATCTTGTATTTCTGTAACTATGTTTCTTCCTCTGTGACTGTACACCAGGTTTTCATTTGATCCCACTCAGAAGTTGGGTTTGGATGTTGCTTCTTGCATTCTCACAAGGTGTGATAGATTATCGACAATTCATATGGTTTTGCTATTGGTATCATATAAATTTGAGTTTTGTTTCACAACGATGTGGACTCAAAGCATCTATATAACTGCAGGGCTCCATTTGGAGAAGATGCTGAAGGAAAACCAAAATTTGTTATACGTCCGTAAGTTTTCCCTTTTGAGACAATGATTGTACTTCATCTCCAAATCTTTCTTTATTCTGGCACCTGATCCTGCAACCAGGCCATCTTCAGTCTAAAATCTTCATGATTGTTCTATATTAAATATCATTTTCTTAAATTGTAGGTTTCATTTTCTTTTTCACTATACTTACTTTTCTATCTGTCACTGATAGCCTTAGTATGATTAATCAATAAAGCTTTTCAGAATGCTTGTTAGGGTCCCTCTTAACCCTAGCATTGATGTTGGTGGTGATGCATGTCTATGAAAGTCATTCAGATGGCAGGCATTTTTTCCACATATGCTACCGACATGAGAAATTCGTTTAGCTATAAATAGATTAGATAAATTGAGATTGGAGGGTACCATATACTTTGTTTTCTACCTTATTAGTTAGACAGCTACATTCGCCTTTTCTTGAGTACATTTTCCTTTGCTCTATTTCTTTGTCATGTTACTCTTTCCTTCCCGTATTTCTTTTCTGGTTCCCTTTGAAATGAGGGGCATATTTAACCTCAGAGGGACTCTTTATTGGAAACACTACTTATCTTAGAATAATGTAATGCTCATAATGTGAAGATTTCTCAAAGTATTGTGTCACACTCGTACCTTTCCATTAACCTTTACGGGCATGACAGGCATTTTTTTTCTTACTAGCCGGTAGAGTGTAGACAATAGAAGGGCAACATATATGCACTATGTATTACAGTACCTGGTGAAGGGTTCAGTTATGCTTTTGCAGACAAGATTTCTAGGTTTCAGTGATAATGTTATATTCTTTGTTGGTAAGAGTAGATGACATTCTATAAGAGGCCTTGAAGAGTGCAAGCTCAGCCCTCTGTAGTATTAGAATTTAGTTGGGCAGTTGGTCCCTTAAACCTCAACTTTCAAAATTTTCTGATGGAATCATGGTGTTTATTTGGATAAGTAGTGTGGAATTGCTCTTGAGGAGAATTATTTAAAAAAAAAAAAAACTTTTGAAAGAATAAATTTTGTTTGGATTGTTTATCTAAAAGTAATTTTGTAAGAACGAGTTTCGTTTGAATAGTGTTAGATGAAGTTACTCAATTACTAAAACAGAAATAGAAATTTAGAAAAGTTATAATATAGTATTATTTAACAATAATAAGTAGGGCTAGTGTTGTAAAATCACTCGAAAAAAGATTAGCCCAGAAGTAAATTCCAGCAAAAGTAACAAAATGTGTTGGTTCAGTTACTTCTGAGGGGGAAGGTTAGGAACGCCTAGGAGTTGTTTCTGCACAATGCTTCCCCTAGACACATCCGAAAAGCTACTGGATATACAATCTGTATTTGGCTTTAGTTCATGTATACAACTGAAGGATTGCAATTATTACTACCATTATTATTTACATTTGGTGGAGGGAGAAGGTGTGATCCTGGGAAGGTCAGAGAAGATTAAAATACTAAAAATTGCTGCTCAATGTCAATATCACGTTTTATATACTAATAATATTTTGCTTACTAAGTTACTATTGATGTTTCATAGAGGTTAATTTGGGAGGGTTCTTGTGTCTCAATCTTCAGGTATACTCCTATATCAGATACAGAATCCAAGGGATATTTTGATTTGTTAATCAAGGTATGTCACCAATAATGGGGGCATTACTTTTCTCATCTTGTAGATAATCTAGCAGGTCATTTTGCAGAGGCACTTGGGTAATTTACTTTTCAAATTGTTGCAGGTGTATCCTGAAGGAAAAATGAGCCAGCATTTTGCAAGCTTAAAACCAGGTGATGTTGTTGAAGTGAAAGGGTACGTCATTTGCAATAACAATTCAAGATCAGAAGAATACTTTACGTACTTAAACTTTCTTTAAGAAAGGCATTGTTTCTTTCAGGCCCATTGAAAAGATCAGATATACTCCTAATATGAAGAAGCATATTGGCATGGTAAGCTTATCCACACTGGTAGATATTGACAATGATGGGATCTGGGGTTCAATCTGGATTATCATCATTTCAATTATCTATCGACATACATATTAAGCTTGTTTGGTAACCAGTAGAGAGTCACAAACATGCCTTTGAATAAGGAAAAGGAAGAAATTTGTTACTTTCGTTCCCCAAAAGTATGTTTGAAAGGCCAGCACCAGTCTCTCCCAAACATATACTTTTTATTGTTGCACTCACTTTTTTATAAATGTTTAATTTCAATTTAATGGTATGAATACATTAACTTGGTAAAAAATATCTCATTTTGCTTTCCATGCTATACCTGCTTGAGCTCTTTTTCTTTTCTCTCTCTTTTTTATTGCACCACTCAGATTGCTGGCGGCACAGGAATTACTCCTATGCTTCAGGTAATTGAGGCTATATTGAAGAATCCTGATGACAAAACTCAGGTAGGTGGTTAACCTCTACATTACATTTCCTCATAATGTATAGCTTGTCTTTCTCTACTCTTCTCTTAATTATCAAATGCATAAGTTATGAACAAATCTTGTTTTTCATTTATTGAAACTGTTTGGGGAACTTGATTCATATTGATGGATATGCACTAGGTCTTTTTGTTTATGCATATAAAGATAAATATTTTTAATTTATTTCTGATAAACATGAGAATATCACAGCTTACTGTGGCCCTATACATGTACAGATATCATTGCTTTATGCTAATGTGTCCCCAGATGACATACTGCTTAAACAGAAGCTTGACATTCTAGCAACAAGCCACCCAAACTTAAAGGTAAAATCTTGTTTAGTGAAGTTACTATTGTTAGTCAATTTGTCATATTTATTGATAGATTAAAAAAACCTTTTTTTAAAACAAAATTTGCAGATATTCTACACTGTAGATAGTCCAACAAAAAATTGGAAAGGAGGGGCAGGTTACATATCAAAGGATATGGTTGTGAAAGGCTTACCCGGTCCTAGTGATGATACTCTTATACTTGTAAGTTATGCTTTCGCAAGTAAAACCTAAATAACATTAACGGTGCTCTTCTTTTATTGTCCTTGCTGACGTATTTAACCAACATGAACCTCCAGGGATATTAAAAGATGCTCTACTTTTCTTTTTCTTATAGAGCATTAAGCATCCATATTATCATATGGTTGAAATCACCCATATATTGATTGGTAAGGCACCTCCAGAACCTGTTGTTTCACGATTGAACACTTGCTCGGTTCTCTTAAAATACAGTTCCCTGAACGATCCCCCTACCCTCCCTTCCCCCTATTTATTAATCTAACTAATCCCTTCTGACTGACTTAACTGTTTTAACTGTCTAAACTAACTATTTTGTCTTCCCTTCCAACCCCCTTTATTCTTCCCTTGTCTTCCCTTCTGTCCTAACAAAACTTCTCTTTGACATATTAAGACTTAAGAGCTCCTTCTGTGGCAAATTATGGTCCATTAAACGTGATCGTTATACTTCTACTTAAACTTGTGAAGGCTCATGCAAATGATCTGTATCTAAAGGCTTATGCAAAAAATTCTGCTTTTTATATTATTTTTTGCAAATGTTTTCAGTTTTTGCTGGTAGGGTTTAGGGAGATGGATTATGGTGGTGTTTTTTTTTTTTTTGCAAAGTTTCATTATCATTACAAAAGTTCTGTAGTTAATGCCCAACCTTTGTTATCACCTGCATTTCAGGTGTGTGGACCCCCTGGGATGATGATAAATGTATCTGGTGAAAAGGCCAAGGACTGGTCACAAGGAGAGGTATGAAAGTAATTTGTGTCGTGTCATGACCTTATTTACTGGATCTCTGTAATGATGCACTTTATGGTTGATTTGCTGTAGCTTTCTGGCATACTCAAGGAGGCTGGATACACCGAACAAATGGTTTACAAATTTTGAGAAATTTAGGTTTCTAGCATCTTAAGCAAGCATGCCAAACCCTAATCGCTGCAGAATTTCTAGACTGAAATGGTTTTCTGAAGAAAAACAGTTGGCTGCGGATGAAAATTCGAACATTAAATAAATCTAGAATTGCTGAGGATACAGAATAATTGATTGTTTAAGTGTCTTTTGAATTTTCACAATTTTGTGGATATTTTAACCATGCGGTTGTATAGCATGGATGTCAATAAAGGGTATCTCATGTGGGGGTAAACTTAATCCTCCCAATCACTTTTCTAATGATTTCTGAAGAGTAAACTACGCCATCCTTGTCTTGAAAGGTTTGAAAGGGGAGGTTTATCTAATAACTCTACACTTTGGAGTTTGGACGTTAGTGTAATTGAAGAAGGGAGTGAGTGTACTTTAGACAAAATTTCAAGTTAGTGTTATTTTTTTTTTAAGTAAGACCAAGATTTGATCTTTCTTTTTTTCATTGGATTAAGTTTGTTGAGCTCTGACAAGTTCAGAATATCATAAAAGGTACGAATCGTAATGGTATTTAATTACAATAGATAATTGGAGATGCTACTAATTACTAATAGCAACAACCAAAAGGAAGACCGTGGCATGCACTAAAAAAAAGGAAGATCATGGCTCTTCTAAGGTGAATTTTAGCAAATCAGTAGTTTATTGTACATGCGAATGAAATATCAACCGATACTAATTTAGATTTGTTGTGAAATTGATAGGTAATATGAGAGAAAGTGAGATATGAAAGAAAGGAAATAAAGTGTACAAAGAGAAACGAAGGAAATATCATTATATTTTGAATTTATTAAGTACACAAATACTTTATTCATTAATAATAGATTACAACAATTTATATGGATTTCTCTCTCACCTATGTGGTCAAATTTTATTTCGTTCTTTTAAGAGGAACTTTCTCATATGTTTGTTTAATCCTACAAGGCTTCTTTTCATTTTCTATTTATAGATGAATTTTGGCATGGTTTTTTAAAGACTAGTTGATTAGGGGACAAACTAGCTGTAAAACTTTAGAATAAAGTGTTCTTGAGTTATGTGCAAACCTATAGTCATATGCACCTTAGCCTTGTGTAGCCTACCTTTAATTAATGAGAAAAATCCTCCCATGAGATAGTAAAGAGTCACATGTTATGAGGTTCGATAAAAAGTTATCAATTATATTTTACAACACTCTTCATTAGATGACTATACTTTATGAATATGCCTCGTTAAAATTTTGTTAAGAAAAATTTAGTGGGATAAAAAACTCAGGGAATGAAAAAGAATACAATATTCATAATTAATATATAATCTTTTATTATACGCTAACTTAGACTGGCTCATTAAAAACCTTTTCAAGAAAAATTTAATGGAATAAAAACTTGGTAAATGAAAAAAAAGTGCAATGCATATAACTCCTCCTTAATTGAGTCATATAGCTACTCGTGGAGCTAATAAAGTGGAGCAACAATTACAATTTTGGAACAGTGGCCAAAGTGCCACTGTTGGAAAAAAAAAACACCAAAATGCCACGCCAACATTAAATTTTGCCAAAATGCCACGTGTCATATTTCGCTACACTGTGTAGCGAAATATGTGTGCAAATAATTCGCTACACGGTGTAGCGAAATATGCCACGTCAGAACAAAAAATGCCACGTGTCAGACAGGGAGAATTTCGCTACACAGTGTAGCGAATTCTCCCTGTCTGACACGTGGCATTTTTGGTTCTGTGCATTCTGACGGGGCATATTTCGCTACACTGTGTAGCGAATTATTTGCACACATATTTCGCTACACAGTGTAGCAAAATATGCCACGTGGCATTTTGGCAAAATTTACTGTTGACGTGGCATTTTGGTGTTTGTTTTTCCAACAGTGGCACTTTTGGCCACTGTTCCTACAATTTTTCATGATAGTTATCTCCAGTAATGTCCATTGAATTGGATCGGTAATATTTATTTATAACACTTCCTATTGGACATCACTGCGTTAAGTTCATGCTTGTCTTTATTTTATTTTATTTAGCCACTTTTGTTTGACTTCTTTACTTTTTTTATAATTTGACCCAATGTTAGATTTTCTACCATCCCTTGAAGGATTATATCATTATTTGTGCTTATAGCCTTCAAAATGGCTAAATTCTTTCAAAGATTTGACATTTACTTTGAGCAATGCTTTTGAACCAGCAAGTCTAAAATTATAATTATTTTCATTCAATTCAAAGATGTGAAAATTTGGCTTTTTAATATTTGCCATATCATAATAAAGATCCTTAAATTAATAATATGGATGGTCAATCACTTCTACTTTAGGAGCAAAATGATATAATTTCTCAAATACCAAATAAGATTTTTCAAGTAGTTTGCTTTTATAACTATCTCATAACTTCGAGGTTGCTCATGTGCTCAATTCGTAGGCCACACACATGTGCAATTATAAACAAATCACATGTCCTCTAGCCCTCAAAGATTTTTCAAAAATTTGCTTGAGGCAGGGTTTGAACCCCTGACTCAAACAAATCCTTGGAGCCAACTGAGCTACCTTTGGAGTTAATATGCTGAAATTTTAACTCGCTAACATAAAGCGAGACACCCATAATTTCCATTTAAACATATATTCATCCAAATACATCATATATCAACATTTAAAATTGAAAATTCACACATTAGGGGGATGAATCAAGGCTGTAACAGCAAGGAACATAAGCCCACGGTTACATACTCATACGTAGTTGTCTTTCAAGTTTCAACCATAGTATGCTTTAGTTCATGCAACACATTTCATAGGCTGTAGTTTCAATTCATCAATGCAAAACACAACAAAACTTAACGTAGCCAGCAGGCCCCAATCAGCCATGGTACTTTATTGAGTATATACAAAATACATATATATATGTGGCCTCTTGGCTGAAACATAACAAAGAGAAAAGGGTGTCGCATTCATATTGCATTTCACATCAAGAAATTCCATGACAATGCTTACACACCAACCATCTCATAGTTAGAACATAAATTCAAGGCTACAACAGCCTTGCCCGAAGCAGAAAAGGGAAAAGAAGCAAGAATTAGAGATTGATAAAAGCACCCACAAATGAAAATCTACCAAATGTAGATACAAATTACTTTTTTGAGTGGAAATTTTTCAACCTTATCTTAGATAGTAGAAACTATTGTGTTGATAACATATTATGAAATTGATAGGTAATATGAGAGAGTGAAATATCAAAGAAAGGAAATAAAGTGTATAAAGAGAAATGAAAGAAATATCACTATATTCTGAATTCACCGAGTACACAAATACTTCATCCATTAAGGATAGAATACAATAATTTATCTCTCACTTGGAGGATTCCTCTCTCACCAACGTGGTCGAGCTCTATTTCTCTCTTCTAACAAGAATTCTCTCAAATGTTTGTTTGATCCTACAAGGTTTCTCTTTATTCTCTATTTTTTTTTTTTTTAGTAAATTCTTCATTCTCTATTTATAGATAAACTTTGACACAATTTTTCAAATTGATTAGGTGACAAACTAGGGGTAGAATTTTTGACCAAAGTTGCCTTGAACTATATGTACACCTACAACCATGTACACCTTGAGCCTTGCGTAGCTTGCCTTTAATTAAGGAGGAAAATCCTCCGACAATATCGTGACGAAGCAAAGAGTCACATGTTATAAAGTATATGAAAATTCATTCGTTATATTTTACAAGAAGATTTCTTTTTTTTTACATAATAATTGAGATTTTAACTTTTCACAAGAGCAAACATTTCCGGTTGCTTTGTCTTCAAAGCTTGCTTGATTTAAATGATACAACGCCTGACCACTTCAAGAATTAACGATTATCCTCACATACTAATACGAGACTTTTCAGTGTGTTTTTTCCTTTCTCAGGAGGTGTGCGAGTGAGGAAAACACACACTGAAAAGTCTCGTGTTAGTATGTGGGGATAGTCGTTAATTCTTGAAGTGGTCGGGCGTTACAAATAACATTTTATTAAATTTTATAATTATTATTTAACTTATATATAATCTTAGAAAATAATGTTTAATAATACAAAACATAATCGTTAATTTTACTTGCAAGCGTGAAATTTACACTTGTTTAAGTTGATCATTACGCTTATTTAACTATTAGTTTTAAGTTAAACGATTAGTTTCACATTTAAAAAGCAATAATATAAGAAAGGTCAATGGTCTTGTTCAGAGGAGTGAGACTCTTCTAAGTAACCACACTCTGTTTTTATCCCTCTTGAGTAAGGCTTTCCTCTATGATACCGCACTACTACGACATCGCCACGGACCACCTTACTCAGTTGCTCTCAACCCCAACAACGTTGATCTCTAATTCTCTACTTTGCCCAGACAAACATCAAACTCGACAACCTTTTACACTTTTTCTTCAGATAAAATCATAAAAGTTTGTGCTTTGTTAATACCTATTATCTAGTTTTGCATAACTAACTAACATTCAGTTAAAACTGAAACCATGTTCAGTTGGATGTGCTCTAGGAATGAACTTTGTTTACCGATGTAATGCAAAATTATCCATCATATTCATGACGGCATAAAATTTTCCACGTGGCACTTTTGTAAAAAACTAACCATGCAAACGCGCAATGCAAGTTGTTCAAAATTCTGATTATTGCTAAAATACAAATTAAAATATCAAATCAAACTAATAAATCGTTCTTGCTCTTTATTTTCTGTATGTTGGAGCTCTCGGATCATGGGCCCACTTTGAGCCCAAAGTTTTTCCTCTGTCAGAACCCAATTTCATTTGTCCACACTGAAACAAAACGAAATCGTTTCTCTTTCTAGCTGCCAATGCCATAATCGATGGTAAGATAATGCAAGAACCAAATTGGAACGTCGATGGAATCTTGATCCCTTCGTCATTGAAAATCCCTTTTCAGTCTTCGAATATGGATGAAGATTTGTTGAAGCGCAACACCGATTGCGTTTATTTCTTGGCTTCTCCCTTCACTTGCAAGAAGGTTCGTTCATTTTCAACCTTTCTAATTCTTCTTTTTCTCCATTTCCTTTCCTTCCTGCCTTCAATTCCTATATCTTGTAGTGCGGTTCGGTTGTGGTGCATGTGTTCGCAATTCTCTCTGCTCCTTCCCTCGCTGTTTTATAATGCCTTTTGCTCTAACCCTACCTTCATCTCTTCGATCCTCGTAAACGTACAAATTAGATTCCTTGTCTATATTTTCCAGTTCTTGAATTGAACAATGCTTGGTGTTCTGGAGTTCATATGCCTTTTTTTTTTTGGTAATTGTTGAAGGACTAGTTATGTTGATGCATTTCCCACTGTTTTTTTTTTCCCTTTCTTTTTTCAGGGTGGTGAATGTGAGTATCGGCATAATGAGATTGCGAGGCTTAACCCGAGGGATTGCTGGTACTGGTTATCCGGGAATTGCCTTAATCCAACTTGTGCTTTTAGACACCCTGTAAGTTCGTATTTTGCTTGTCTTGATTTGGAGATGTACATTTGCACATTTCATTTGCTCTTCAATTTCTTGTATTTTTATCCATTCGATAGGATAGGCTTGTGTACCTATTAACTATTTCTCAAAATATATGTTGAATGAAGGCATGTTAAACTAAATTAAATACCAACATAGCTATAGGTAACTTGTAACAGCTGCCAGCTCTAGCATTGTGGTTCCTCTATAAGTAGCTTGTGATGCAAGATCAAAGTACAGTGGTGTATTATATGAGATACAAATATAAAATTTTTAGGTCCTCACCTTTGTAGTGTTTCTTAAAATATCTAATTGAAGGCACAAGATCATATTATTATACCCCTGTTTCGTTAAATGGGCTGTATTTTCTAATGTCGAGTTATACACATAGTATAGAGCACTGGACAAAGAGTGTCCTGCTTAATTTGTCTCTTGTTTTTCTCTGTAAGTAGCTTGTGATGCATGTTTGCAGATCAAAGACACAGTGGTGTGTTATATGTACATCTATGTTATTGTCAACAAAATAATATACAATTTTTTGGTCCGTCAAATACAATTTTGCTGTGTTTCTTAAAATATTAAAGGTACAAGATCATATTATCATCTCCGTGTTTAGTATAATGGGTTGTATTTTCTAAATACCGAGTTATACCCATTGTCCACCTGAGAATGGGGCAGAAAACTGTCTTGCGTAATTTGTCTCTTGTTTTGCTAAATTATTTGCAACTGTTTTTACCTTGTAGTTGACTTGATTTGGGTTCCTTCAATACCAACATTAACAACACTTTTATCCCAAAGATGAACTCAAATGAAAAGCAAGAAAAGATTGAGAGAAAAGAAGTGGATGATTTGGGTTCGTTGCTTAGGAAAATTGATTTTACTTGGTTGAATAGATTTGATTATTAAAAATAAATTTATGAACAGGAACATTGAATTCACTGCATTATTAATATACAGTTAAATTCTGCTGCTCCCCCGAAACCCCCCAAACAAAAAAATAAAATAAAATTCATTTCAATTTTTTTATTTGCTCTTGTTTAATAATAACCTGTCCATTCAGTTGTTACCTCTCTTCACTTTCAACTAATTTTTATCATTTTCTCAGCCATTGGATGGGAACACTGGAGTGCAATCTGAACCCACACAATCTTCGTTACCCGCAAACAAGACAATGGCTCCCTGTTATTTTTTCTTTAATGGATTTTGCAACAAAGGTGACAGATGCTCATTTTTGCATGGGCCTGGTGATAGCTTTTTTACTTCAAGTCCTGTGAAGAATGACAATGGAGGCAATGATGCACTCAACCTAGAAAACAAAACATCATCAGAAAATAAAACAGGTGTAGCATCAACACCAACTGAAACACATTTCGATCCATCTTTAACTTCCCCTCAGGCGTTGTGTGATTTTAAACTTCAGCCTAAGGAAGATCTTCAGCTACCATTGCCCAAAAATGTTAAACAACAAGGTTCTTGCCTAGAGATATCTGCTTTTGAGTGTAAAGAAGCTACAGTGACTAGGTCAGACTCTTTGTTTCCAGATGACAACTTTGTTCATAACATATCTCATTTATGTATGGAGCAGAGTTTAGAGGAGCAAGTAAATAGTCACATAGAGCGTGAGGAGCGGTGGGAATCGTCCCCTGGATTTGATGTTATTGTTCATGATGAATTGGAGAACTTGGGTTATGAGGGTGATTCTGAATATTTGCCTGTGCTTGATAGGGATGATCAGGAACTGAATGAGCAATACTTGGGGTATGATTTTAAAGATCCAGTTGAGTATGATACTATGTGCCCAGAAGCTGCTATTCTGTATGAACAAGAAACATATGATGGTTACAGATATTTGGATAGAGATCTTACTCATGGTAGTGGCAGAAAAGTTTGTGCTTATTCCAGAGAGATAATCTTAGATTCTATTTTGTCCAGGAAAAGGATTCGGATGTCAGGCGAGATGGCTGCTTGTGACAATAACTTAGATCTAAGATACCATCTGAGGAGACGTAGGGAAATTAATGGTCCTCCTTCTACAGGTTTCTTAAGAAGACGTGAATCATCATCTTTGATAGTTCGAAATCAGGAAAGGCATCAAAGGCATGGCATTAATCAGCGGCCAAGTAGAAGATTGACGTCACAATTGGGATTTAGCACTATAGACTCAAATCGAGAGGTTGAAACTCTTTCAAATACTAATAAGCACAAGTTATTTAGGCATTCTCAGCAACATAGGCCAAGAAATCATTATGGAGAAAAACCAGCTAAACGGCAGTTTCTTTCATCTAAAATATCCAGGAAACCAGTTTTAAAGCAAAGGAGATTTATTCATGAGTCCTCTACATTTACAGGTCCTAAGACTCTCGCAGAAATTAAAGAAGAGAAGAAGAAGGCTGAAGAAAATTTTCATTCTAAAATCACATCAGCTGATTTCCAGGATCCCAAACCTCTGAGTGAAATTCTCAAGGATAAAAGGAGTATGGATCGAGTGAGAGATGGCAATACCTCCGCCAATTGAATTATGGGATTAAAATGACTAATGGTTTCAAGAGACTAATATTTTTACCGAAGATAACTAGATAAAATTGGCTGGGAGGTGATTTCTAGCATCCTTTACTATGCTAGATATAATGGCCCTGCTTTTGCCATTGGTAGATGATGATGCGTTTTCATTCTAGTTAGTGGAAGTTTAAGAGGGCTCAAGGTGAAGAAGATAGATATTAGATAACTAGAGTTTGACTGGAAAAGATATCTTCTGTTAGTTGAACTTGTTGATTTGGGCAATGACGTCTTAATCTAGAGAGTGGATTACTGATTTACATGAATTTTCTGTGTGATTCTGGCCTACTTGTGTTAGTTGTACAGAGCTGCTTACAAGTACTCACTGCTTTGGGCTTGGTCAATTCTTTTATATGATGAATTGTCCCATGTTTAGGATTTTTATAATGGTTACTGCTACCCGTATAATGAGCAGGGATACGAAAAATTAAACATATATAGTACATTGGTGTTTCTTTCTGAATTTGAGTATCGGTGCATGAATATATATATATATATATATATATATATATATATATATATATATATATATATATTTAAGATTCATATGCAATCTAATTATTTAAGGGAAATACATCTATTATGTAACATGATGTAAGCTTATTTTCCTACCCAAACAAATAGACGTGGGGTCCACAATTTTTTATTTTCTCTTTCCTCAACTCATTTTCTCTCTCTTCTTTTATGTTTGTGTAGGACCAAATAGTGTTTTTTATGTAACATTATATAAGTATAACCCATTATTTAATGCATTAAGAATGCATATAAATGAAACATATTTTTTTTCATTAACTAGGGTTGATTTAATGCTGTAAGAGGCCCAAAGTTAAATATAGAATGATGCAACTATCAAAAACAAAAACAAAAAACAAAAAAAAAATATATAAAATGATCCCCTTTATTAAAATTGATGAAAAATTATTATTCAAATTTTACTCTATTAGTTTTTGAGAGGGGATAACCACCTATTTATTCACAATTAGATCACGAAGAGAGAGAGAATGCCGAAAAATTTCTAAAGAGAGAAAACATGTTGAAAAGTTTATGAAGAAAGAGAAAATGTTGATCCAATGATAATTAGATAGGTGGTGAATTTTTTTGGTATTAAAAATATTTCTTCTCTTAGATTTTTATATGTAACTTTTTGTAATCAATTTTTTTTTTTTTTTGGTAAAAAATCAAAATTTTATAACAAGCTCTTCTATTTATTATTTTCAATTGTTAATATAACCACAACATTTAAAATAAAAGGGTCAAACCAAATTAGGAAAGAAAAATTGGAGATTTTAAGTTGGAAGAAATAATTCACTTTACAAATTAGAAAAAATTTGTTGTTGGAGCTTGATCTGGACCTATCTTACGCAGGATATAAGGCCTAGTTCATGAAAGGCTCAAAGGGCCCAATTACTAAAACTTAAATGCTAAGGAAATGTGGTCATAATGTGTATACATGTCATCTTGCAGGTATATTGACTAGAGGTGGCAAAGTGGGCGGCCCGCCCGGCCCCACCCTGCCATCAACCCGTCAAAAAATGAGTCAGCCCGCCCCGCCCTGCCTTTGAAAGTGGGCTGAAAAACTCAGCCCGCCTCGCCCCGTTTGGCGGGTTGGCCCGCCAGCCCGAGCCTATTTTACACTGACCCGCCTCGGCCCGCCTATGCCCGCCATCAACCCGCCAAAAAATGAGCCCGCCCCGCTTTTGGGATGGGTTGAAAAACTCAGCCCGCCCCGCTCCGTTTGGCGGGTTGGGCGGGTTAGCCCGCCGAGCCGAGCCCGTTTTGCCGGCTCTAATATTGACACACAATATCAACAGCTTATTCTATCGTGACTACGTAATATTAGCAGCTTAGGACTCTATCGTCACCCTAATAGCCAATGGTTAAGTGATGATGCCTGGTTCCCGTTGTGCCTATGAGGGCATAGCCCATAAATAAATATCCTGAGAATGTAACGCCGGGCCGCTTTCAAGATCCATGACTATTTCCACACACTAACACGAGACTTTTCAGCATAGAATTGCTCCAAGTCAAGCACGCTTAACTATGGAGTTCTTCTGTTATGGGTTACTGAAAAGTAGATACATCTTGTTGGTATAGGTAGTACCAATTAATTCTTATAAGCTATCTCCAACTATGCAGTCTTATACCTGTATAGTCTTTGAAATCCCTCTCTTTCGGATTTCGATTCGATTCATTCATATACCCCTGTTGGAAGCCCAGGAGCCTCTTCTTGTTTGTGCTTTTTTGCACTGACGATTGCTTCCCGCCCTCGTCAGCACTCAGGATGTTACAAAGAACTTGATATAACCGTTGTATCAAGTTCAACTATATGTGATCCGGTCCAATAACCCAATTGTTATTGGAATGATCCACGCTTAATAAATATACAAATTTTATTGTAAAAGAAAGAAATATTTGAGAATTAATAGCATAATGAGGATTAGAAAGTAATTAAAGAAATATTGAACACTAATGTAAGAATAAAATAAACATTTTAATGGTAGAAAGGCTTTAATGGTAAATAATCCGACGAGTAAGTGTATGCTTTTATTGCTTTAATTTCAAAAAATCTACCTTAACTAATTCTCTTTTTATTTTAAAACTCAGATTTAAGCAATTAAAGAATGTTCGTAGTTGTGCACTTGAGTGATGTGCAACTAATCTTTCTGCAAACCATGACATATCTGCCAAAGGAGGACATGAGATTATAAAAGAACACTCTGAATTACGGTTTTAGTTCATTTGTCAAAAATCTTACTTGGGTTTAAACTTTAATGTAAATGTTTATTCGTCTAGGTTAGAATGCATAAATTATAGTTTACGTTAAAGTTTACTCTTCAATGGACTAATTTTTTTTTTTTTTTTTTTTTTTATATATATGGACTAAATTCTTTGTAACGAGGGAATTTGATAAACTACAGTAAGTTAATTTAACTAATGTAACTAATAGTTAATAGAAAAATTATGATTTTTGAAATCCCCTACAATTTTTTTGACACTCATGAATAATATATATCTAGTTGGATTAAATATTTGAGAATCTGGATTCAATTCCTATCAAATATATTTTTTGGGAGAAATCGGTTCGAATTGACTGGGTCGACCCGGGTCTCGATGACCCGGTGGATTTTCCGATTCGAGCGATCATTTGGATCAGTTCTGCAATCAACTCGGTTTGGACCAGTTGACCCGGCCAAGACTCGGCGACTCGGTGAGCTGGTTGACTCGGATTAGACTGGTTGACCTTCTCTTCTTCTTCTTTTTGAGAACTCTTGAACTAAATCATGCTCATATTTTGTGATAAATATGATTAAAAAGTAAGGTGAAAATGAGAAGATATTTTGGATTAGTGTAATTCGTTTATGTAATTTAGTTGCATCTTATAATGATCTCAAGAAGTTAGGTAGAGATAAACACTGATGGTCTCATCTCAACAGTGGACACTTTCTCCTTAGTGTATATACATGTCTATGATTTGTTATCATGATTTAGTTTATTTGTGTTATGCCAAGGCACAAAATGTACATTTTGCTTACATTACAATTTTTATCCAATGTTAGGATATAGTCTAGAGCTAGAAGCCTAGAAGTATATAATATTTGCTATCATTGAAAACCAATTTATTTTTTAAAGCTCATTGATAGTTTTTTTTATATGAATTTTTAATATAAGTAATATGTTTATATTTTTTTAATATGTGAATAGTAAATTCGGTTGAACCTGGTTGAACCAATGATCTAGTACCTCAACCGAGTCGATGACATGTTCGAGTTTTAAAACACTGGTTTTAACGATACTAAGTCCCGACTCAGAATTAGTCTTATAATCAGCTGAAAGATTTAAAACTTATAAAAATATCCAGAAAACCATCTCATCTTAAAAAAATAATTAGGTCGGCACAAACATAATAATTATAATGATCTGGTGTTATCTCCTATCTTATCGTCAATTTCATATTAGTAAAAGAGTTATGCTAATGTCACGGTTTTACAGAAGTGTTATTAAAAGAAAACAGAACTCTAATTTTGTTCTATTAATTTGGAGACAATACGCCAAATCAATGAAATCAAATGTTTAACAAAAAAAAAAATGACATCAAACATGACTTGTGTGTTTTTATGGCCAAAAAGCTGTGGTACTAATTCACTGGGTAAGTCCATAAGGAAACACCCTAACAATGAGCACTGTATTCTTACGTGGTTACTTGGTAAAATAGGCCCTAGGTGTTTGTGTAGTCTATAATCGACTAAAATAAATAAATATTAGTAATGTACTTAAAAAAATATTAATAAGATATTTGCTCATAGTTTATGAGTTTTATTACTCTCGTGTTACACGAGAGAAGATATTTTTCTTGTTGACTCGAAAAAAATGTGGGATTTATTTTAATTTAAATTTTTTAGTGGGATCCACGGCTTGTTTGCGTCACGGTCAGAAATATCTTCTATCATACAGCATGAGACTAATAAAACTAATAGTTTATTTGATTTAGGGGATAAGATATTGTACTTATATTTTTTATGTTTATGCTATCGACTCATCTCTAATACTGTTAAATTAGAATCTTAACTAATTTTTACTCTTTCTCTCTCCTCTTGAAATTTTGATACAACAGTATTAGGGATGAGTAGGTATAAAAAAAAGGAAAACAAATATCCTATCCATATATAAAAAAAGATAAATTTAACTATAATTAAATGATAAAAATAATTAAATTTGAAGTGCGGTTGATTATTGAATAAAGTATTTTTGGGAACTTAACAAAAATTATAAGATCCAATTTAATCCCTTTAAAAAAGTTGATTCGTAGTTCTTTTAAAATTTAAAATAGATTCGTGTTACTCTATCAAAAGAATTAACGTAAGTCTATTTTGAATTTCAAAAGGACTATAATTTTGATTAACTGAATCTATTTTAAATTTCAAAGAGAACACAAATTAATTTTTTTTAAGAAATTAAAATAGACTCTATAATTTTTATTAAGAACCCAAAAATAACTTTACTCTTGATTATTTCATGGCAAAACAATCAAATTTCAAAATCTTAGTGTGAACATTGTAAGCTATCCGGAAAGCCTATAATAGGCCATGAGCTGTCACCGAAATTAGGAGAAGAGCTATAAATTCTAATTTGGGACCAAGCGATAACAAGTTTAAAATTGATTATAATTTTTTTGAAAGAGCTAAATATAAAACTTCGTATATTAAAAGAAATTTTCAAAGACATTAAAGACAACAGTGTGAAAACATGGTGCGAGTTGAATGCAAAGATTTCTTCCCAAAGAGTATTCAAGGAGCGCTAATTAGAGTATGGAGAGTTGTAGTGTGTTGGCATGTATGCATTAATAAAGAGAAATTTGTCAAAAAAATTCCAAGAAAAAAATTTCATTACATTTTGAGAATTTTATTTTTATTTTATAATTTGAATTTTCTTAAAATGTTTTGTATACTCTTTTTTTCAAATCTAAAAATCATGGTATTTGGAGTTTTAAAGAATGATTTATTTACTGATAAAGGAGAAACACTAATGAAATTTTGCAATTTTTCTTTTTTTAAAATCAATGTAGATATGTAATTTTACATTTATATTAGAGATAACTACGAGTGTAAATAGGCTAGGCTAAGCTTTAGCCTAAATAGGACCAGCATGTGTAAAAAAAAAAATTGGCCTAGCCTGACTTGTTAGCCTGCGTAGGTCGAAATTACATGTCTGGTCTGGTCTATATTTAAAATATAAAAAGCCTTGGCCTAGGGCCTGTTAACATGTCTAAGTCTATTAAACATTCAAGAATTAAAAAATAATTACAATAATATTACTTTATTATTCAAAATTATTAAAATAATAATTTTATTTAAAATAAAATTTTGATATAAGCCGACATATAAGTTTATAGGCCCTACATGTACAAAAAAGCCTATAATCTATTTTCTAAATAATTTTTTTTAAAAGTTTGGGCCTATTCTTTTGACTATTTGTAATAGGTCAAGCCTAACCTAATATAGGCTAGGCCTTAGGCCCTTGTAGACTGGCCTAGCTCATTTACACCCGTAATTACAATGAACTCACTCTCAATCCCAGGCAAACTTTGGATAGTAAAGGACTAAAAGTTAGGTTCGGCTACATTAGATTGAACAAGGAATCATTATTACGAGTGTCCATTAATTGATCCAAGCCGATCCAAATCGCAGTGACCGAACCAAAAAACTGAATTGAATTAATCGAAAATTGAAAAATTGAAAATTGAAAAAAAAATTGCATATATTTAATTGGATTGGATTAGTTTTCAGATTAATTAATGAAAACTGATCCAATGTATTATGTATTTATTATTTTTGAAATTTTGCTAATGCCATTTTCCCTAATATTTATGAAAGACTGAAGTATGAAAGAGAAATATGGTGACTTAGAATCCTGTTTTTTGATAGATTTGGAATTTTGGATGTTATTATAGCAAACTACCTTGTTTTAGTGTTTTATTATTTATTACTCTATTTTAACTCTTCATGAGTTTAAGACTTATTTTAATTTGAAGACTTGAATTTTTTCAATGATTTATAACTTTGTATGCCTTTATGTTGATATAAATAGTGATTTGCTGAAATTTTAAACTTTTCAAAAAATTAAAAATCGATCCAATCCAATTCGAATAAAATTGGATTAGATTTGATCACTTTTTACTTTAAAATCAATCAAAATTCAAACCACAAACATTCCTAATCACTATGAAGTCTTAATCCTTATTAGGAAAGCCCATCAAGGATAAGATTTGCATCATTATTAGTTAAGATAAGACTCCAAAAACTAAGAAACCTATGTGTAGACACAAAACTTGACCCTACCTACATTTTTTGTTGACATTACAATTTTGAACTCTTGCTGTATATGTTACTCCATTTTAAGTTAAAAAAGTAATTCGTAATTAATGTTAAGATTTCCAAAAACTTAAGCGGATTAGATTAACAAAACCTAGCATTTAGATTACCCTAGTAATTTTCTTCTTTATATATTCTTTTATTTGTCATTTTCCCCCAACCTCATCATCTCTCTAATAATCAAAAGTCTAACATCATCATATAACTAATTGGGGTTTAAAATTTCTCTTCAAAAGAGAGAGAGAGAGAGAGAGAGAGAGAGAGAGAGAGATGGATGGGTTACAGAGGTCAGAAACATCATTCAGGAGACAAGGCTCCTCAGGGTTGGTGTGGGATGACAAGTCAATCGGTGGTCTCAGAGACAAAGACAAGAACGAGAACCAACAAGAAAATGAAAGGCAGGGATCAATTGCCACGTTGGAGAGAAGCAGATCAACCGGAGCACGCCCATATCGGACGGTCAACGTTGCACCATCATCCAAGGACCCACCTTCTCCCAAGGTAGCAACCTGTGGCTTTTGTGGTTTCTTTGGTAAACCAGTTGCTGCCAAGTCTAAAAAACGTAGGTGATGATGATCTTTCTTTCTTTCTTAATTCTCCAACATATAATTTAGTGGTGCTTCTTGTTCTTTCTCATTAATTGTTAGTCTTTGTGTTGTCTATCTTGTGTTTTTGATTTGGGATTACTATTTGTAAATTCGTAGGACATATATATGGATGTATCTGGGTGTTTAATAAGCCTAAAATTTTGCACATTATACTCAAATTCGGAGTCTGTTCCTACAACGTATTCCCAATGATTTTCCAATACACTTTTTTCCCGTCTTTCTCAATGTTAAGTTGTGTGTTGATAATATTTTTTCAAATTTCCGTAGACCTTTTACTTTAATGAAGTGTTTGGTACAAGAGAAACTTTTATTTGTCCGAGAATCTCGATTTTCAAAAATATGATTTTTACATTAAGTTTACGATAATATCTGAAAATTTAAAATTTATAAAAATTCAGTTTCCCGGGAATCCCTCAAAATTCCGCATACCAAACGCCCCTGAGTCTCCATTTTTTCTCCAACTACTTATTTCTAATACACTTATTTCTAATCTTGTTTCATTCTAAAATATTATCAATTGAGTATGGGGAATGAGTATAAAAATAACAATTCTTAACTCATTGATTTTATTCGTATCTAACTATTTACATGATTAATTAATTATAACCGTCGGATGAAATTAATGAAAATAAGATTATCAGTAAGATTATATATATATATATATATATATATATATATATATATATATTTCTCTTGCTTGATAATAGTTCTTAATTTGAAATATTAATTTTATTAAGAAACATAATTGAGGACAAAGAAATAATTTTTTTTTCTAAACATAAAAAATACATTTATTCCAAATTAATTAGAAGAAGTAAACCTAATAATTGAACCTAATAATTGAACCAAGTCTCGACAAACATAAGTGAAATATTGAACCCGACGTATAAACCCTAATTGACAATAAATAACGATTTCAGTCTTTTGTATATCAAACTTTGCCTAAAGAAAATAAGAAAATAATAGAGTTTATAAGGATGAACTAAATTGATGGGGTTGTAAATTATAATAAAAGAGCCAAGGATTGAAGGAAAAATAAACCAAAAATGGCACTCTTTTGAGTAAACATTTTGTACCATTGTACCAATTAATTGGCAATCAAACCAACCAACCTAATAGTATTGACTAGTATAAGGTTTGAGAGCGCCCGACACAAACAAGGACGATAACCTCTGCCGACCCTATTTATTGTTCTTTGAGAAAAGTCGACCATCAAAAGGCCATTTCGCATATTCTAATTTCTAAGGATTCATTCATTTATTTATTTTCTTTCTAACGCGGTAGTAAATATCTGAAATTATTACTTTATATAAATGATCTATATTCTTGATTTTCAACCAAATTTTTGTAACTAATTCAAATATCGTAATTAAACAATTGGGAGATGTTCTTTCCTCCAATATAGTACGGTTTGTAGTTTCTAAACAAAAAATTAAAAGGTTGTGTATCTTTGTACGATACGTAATTGTCATTGCTGTTATCATTTTGTTTGCAATTAGTTGTTTGGTCTTCTGCAGCTTAAGTCAAACAAGAAGAGAAGACTAAAAACAAACGGATGATTGTACCAAAAAAAATAAAAACAAACGGATGAAGATGGTTACAACATGCCTATACTGTTGAATTTATATTCTTTAAGTAAACTAATTGAATTGGTTTTAACTTCTAAACGAATAGAACCAAATAACAAAACGTACATTTGGTAATCAACATGCATGTCGATGTCGATGACAACTAAAATCCATATGACATTAACATTGAAAAGGACATTGAAATGGTTTGATAATCAACACCCGTCCCCCAATATATATGTATGAATAAGAATCTCTTGACTATGGTCTAAGAATAAGAAATTTTACTCTTCATCTCTCATTTTAATCAATAATTTTTGTCTATATAACAACGATAGTTTATTAAGTTATACCAATCAATTAATTTTTAATCTTAAATAAATTACAGCTGTTAGGTGGATGAAAATTAATGGTCGAGATGGACAGTAAAATTTCTTAATTTTAGATAAAATACCTCTTTTATATATATAGAGACATGAACAACTTACATCAATATAATAATTCTTACACTTAATCGTAAAATATAAGGAAAAATACAATGAATAGTAGAAAAAGAGAGGGAAGATTCATTAAATAATTTAATACTATTATTCTATTACCTTTTAGAGGAATGTTATATTTACAAAATTTAAAAAAAAAAATCTTACAAATTTGCCCATGTATTTCGGGAAGTACAAAAATAGAGAAATGTAATATATAGGCAAGTTTGTAAATAACAAATTTGTAAATATAACATTTTTTTACCTTTTATTCATGTTTTCCTTGAGCCTTCTTCGAAGACAGTACCTTTTTTTTGGGGATATATTACCATTATCATCACAAATTAGAATTGTAAGCCATCATTGATTTAATACTTGAAACAACATTGCTCATAGTTAAATACAAGCTATGGTAAAAATAACCCTACATGAGAAAGCAGTTGCTTTTGATTATTCTTTTTTTTTCGGTAATCTGCTTTTGATTCTTATTAATTATCATTGCAATGCAAACAACATATAATTAAAAATTGCTTTCTTTGAAAATTTGAAGAGATTCAAGATTATATGGTATCAACTCAACACAGGGATATAAATCCTGTCACCAACTTGTTTTCCTTTTACTACTCTTGCTCCGATGACATTTGTCCCAATTTATCTCCAATTAATCTTGTTCCATTACACAATCATGCTACTTGATCAAACCTCATCAGAATAAATAAAAATATAATACATCGAAAATAGACTATCGCGATGTTTGGAGGGAATTTTAGTTATTGATTTACAAGCTAGAAACAAAAATATAAACATTATTTACGAACAATGCAAAAGAATGAAATATATCACGAGTTTGTTTTTTCTGATGTTACTTTAGTTAACTTTATCTAATGTTCATCAAAACGACGTTGTTTTGGGACGGAAATCATGGTGTTTTAGTAATTTTAATTTATTTCAGGGTTATAATAGTTTTTATCACTCTAATTTTTTAATTTTTCAACCCCGAAATGACGTCGTTTCGATGAACATTAGATAAAGTTATCTAAAGTAACATCGGAAACTTTTTTCCCATATATCATTATACAAATCCCATATATTATTTTTCCTTGGAAAGAACCAGTCGAGATATATAATACTTTTTAATTAAAAATTATTGACATAAAAAACTTGTAACGGGATAAATAGTAATTTATAAAAAAATCTGAGTAATCTCCTCAATATTAAATAAAATTATTTCAATTTCAGTAAAATTTCCCATTCAAAAAAAGGTAAGAAAAGCACGTCTGCAGCAATAAGTTAATTGAGTTTTAATTTGCTTGAGTCTCACGTGCGCAGGATAATTTATTTTAATTTTAATTAGAAGGTTATATGTCAACTTCCTTGGGTTTTGCATGACTAACAGGAACTTCAACTTATTATTGAGTTCGGAGTAAAACTAAAATAATGATAAGCGACATATATGACTAAATGTGTCCTCCATATAGAAAAATAACGAATCGTAAATTATAGATGAGATGAGTACGATCAATGCATATAACCTGTGATTCTGATTATGCCATAAACAGAGCAAGCATACATATTCATGATATGAGGAAAGTATAGATTTATCGAAATAGTCAGTCATATTTAATTTGGATTGAAACTAAAAATATAAAGAAACATCAAGAACAAAAAATGAAGTATGTGAGAAGTTGGCGAGCAAACAAAACTAAATAACTATAAGGAATGATAAAAAAGAAAAAGAAAAAAAAGTTAAACAGAAATTACGGACCAAAGGCAAGGGATACCTAAACTTTTAGTTGGTATAGGCCCTGAAAAACATTTCCTGCTCGGCTTCTTCATTTTGACAGAGTGCAAAACGGTTCCTTAAAAAGTTTTTCAAGGTAAGAAAATCTGTCAAGCAATTTGTGCTGTTTGTTCTTCCATTTCCTTCTCCAAGGATTGAAGAGGGCTCTTTTTGTTTGTTAGACTTCCGACTTAGGCTATTCTATATGCAATGCTAATTGCCTTCTGATACAGACCAACCACTAAGTAACAGAGCTCAAGGAATTAATGCAGGAATTTGGATCTGAATATTATACCTTCATATATTTAAGCACAAACGATTACAAACAGAGACACATCAACAACAATTCTTACAGGAAATATGAAATTACAGTGACACTAAGGAAATCACAATGCAGGAAAAAGTAAGATAGTGTGGAACACATATGAGAGGTTCCACTCTCTCCCAATCCCAAAAAGGGCCCAAGCAATTCTCAAAGATTCCAGATACCCTCACTCTTCTCCTTCCTTGCTATTTAACCATCTCAACCTCCCTTCCCACGCCATTCTGTTGAAACTGATTTGCTGAGTCAGCAAAGGCTGGGCCCACATTATTTTAATCCTTCCTATATATACGTGATCTCGGTTTCACTTGGCAATGAACCTTGAGGTTGGTTGCTCAAATCACTAGCTAGCTGATCCATTTGAATCTCCAAATTCCTCAACGAAGCTACTAGGCTCTGAATCATTGCTGACTGGTTTTGAATAATGGACATATATTCCTTTAACAAACTCTCAATTGATGAAGATGGTTCCACGGGCTCGGGTTTGTCTTGCTGTGGAAATCCTGGAGGATATTGTGGTTGGGTTGGGACTGAGGAAGGACCTGCATTCTGCCCTTGTGCATTCCAAGAGAACTCTGGGTGTTGCCTCCAATTTGGATTGTATGTGTTGGCGTGCTGATTGGTGCCTCTGTTGAAGTTCCCAACATAACAAGCAGATTGTGGGTTAGATGGGCAACTGTCAAAAAGATTTTCTCCACCGCAAAATGTGCAAGAGGCTACTCCATTTTGTTGAGCCTTTACTCCATCAGCTAAGTTCATTGACTTCAGCACACTAGTTAAAGAGGACACTTGTGCAGTCAAAGCTGTTATTGCATCCAATTCATGAACCCCTTCTACAATCCTTGTTGTGGCTGCTCTTTCAGCCGGCCATTCGTAATTGTTATTTGGCATTCTCTCCAAAATCTTATAGGCCTCATTGTAAGTTTTAGTCATGATATCACCATTGCCAGCAGCATCTACTAAGGATTGTGTTTGCCAATTTAGACCATAATAGAAAGTCGCAGTTTGACAGCTGTGAGAAAGTCCATGAGGAGGACACTTAACCAAAAGCTTTTTAAATCTTTCCCAAGCCTCGTATAAAGATTCACCCTCCAACTGCTGAAAATGCATAACATCATTTCTGAGCTCGGCATACTTCATGAAAGGAAAGTACTTCTCTAAGAATTTCTCTACCAAGTCATTCCATGTGGTTATAGAGTATGGAGGTAGATAATACAACCACGCTCTAGCTTTATCCCGCAGCGAGTAAGGGAATAGCTTCAATCTCAAAGCTTCTTCTGTCACTCCAGGTAGCTTAAAAGAATCACTCACCTCCATAAAAAGTCTAAGATGAAGATGAGGTTCTTCTGTTGACATACCACTGAAATGCCCAATGATTTTGAGCATTTCGAACATGACAGGTTTAAACTCAAACTGTGGTGCCTGGATTTCTGGCCTTACTATACTGGGATTCAGCCCATGTAGCATTTGCTCAAAAGCATACTCTGTTATTGTCCTCTCTCGGTCATCTGCCATAGCAACAAAATTGTTACCACCATTGGCACCATTCCCAGCTCCTTCAGCCATTCTATCTATTTTGCTGCTAAACCTTGTTGCTCTCTTCTCTTAGCTCGGAATATCCTTTCAATTTCTCGATCTAAGGGTAACAAATCCAGGTCATTTGGTCTATCATGCACAAAATAAAGTACTTAAAAAAGAAACAGAAAATAAGATAATAAGGAAGAATTAAGTAAAAGCTGCAACAACTGGAAATCACTTTACAAAGATTAACAATGTTAATTATCGTAGTAGCTATACCATAACTCCTCAAGCTGATGAACAAAGATGAGAGCAGGAGATCAATGATAGAAAGGCTAAATAAATTGAACAGAGAAAAATTATTAAAATGATATTACACCTTCGTGATTCATCGGATGGAACACATAAATAATAAATAATGTTGATCTTCAATACACTAAATTGGAATAGTAATAGAAAACAATTAAGAATAGTAATTGAAGAACCATGTTTCGGGTTTAAAGGAAAGGAAATATAGGCTATCTATTTCATTTACACATTCTATCAAACGATAGGTACGTCTCAAATTTTTACATAGTGATCTTCAAAATGAAATGCAGGTTTAAATCTAACACACCGTTAGTAGAGTTAAAAGTGAGACACCGTAGTAACAACAAACACCTATCTGAGAGCAAAAAAAAAAAAAAAAAAAAAGGATTTTACCAATTGAAGATCGAGATTCGTTGAAACGGGTTAGAAGACACAGAGGAAGGAAGTGAAATAAAAGGGTTTTGTCAAACCCTTGAATGAATAAAACGGTGGAGAAATAATAATAATAATAACAACTTTTTTTTTACAACCTCATACAACCATATCTTAACACCGTTGATATCCGCTAATCAACAGTTATCATTTATTGTGAATTAATAATTAATTAATGAGTTTAATTTGCGAAAATCATAACCATTGATTGGCGGAAATCAACGGTGTTAAGATATGGTTGTAAGAGGTTATAAAAAGAAGAAATTGTAAGTATAACCTTCCTCTAATAATAATAATAAATTCCAAAGGAAAGAATATACTTACTACCAAAAAAATTTATCACCCTTACAACCAATTTAATCACGGTTGATTTCTGTCAATTTAACGATTATACTTTATTGAAAATTATTAAGTTGTACTTATTAATTAATTATTAATTCTCAATAAATTATAATCGTTAGATTGAAAAAAAAATTATATTGGTTGTAGAGGTGGTAAACATTTTTTGTGACAAGTATATCTGCCTCAAATTAAATTTCTAATCTGAAAAAAATAAAAGGTTTTCAAAGTAGGGGTAGGATATTGTAACAACCAATTAGAGTTACTACCAATAAATTTTACGGTTCGATCGATTATGTGGATCCAACGGTTATATTTATTTACATCTTTGTATAATTATGATTTTCCAAATTTAATACTTTATATTTATTTTTATCTTTCTATGGTTATGATTTCTCATATTTAATGATTTCACATTAAATATGGGGAATCATAACCATACAAAGATGGAAATAAATATAACGAATTAACGTAATCGATCTAACGATGAAATTGAAAGATAATAACTTTAGTAATAATCCTAAATGGTTGTTACATTACATGATTACAATAAGTAATATAAATTTTAATTTAAAAAAGATAATAGAATTAAATTGCCCTCAGTTTGGGCCGAAATTTGCTTTTAGAGCAAGTGAGCAACTCAACAAGAGCCCAGGCATTATTCAAATTTGATATCAAAATCTGACTTATATAAATTCAAGTATTCAACCGATCAGGATTGTGTGCAATAATAAATTAAAACGTCAGACTTTAAATAAGACAATTGCTAAATAAACTAAGGATAAATAAGAAAATTTAGATTATGTTTTACCACTTTATTGAATAAAGTACGTATAATCTTAACTTAATAAATAATCTAAGGTTAGCTTACCAAAAAAAAAAAAAATCTAAGGTTAAATATGCCCTTATTTATTCACTTTAAAATATATTTTTATTAATAAATATGTTTAAACGGTCACAATTAGTATCCTGCGCGATTCTGTTGTTTGACTCATTTGATATATACCCTTTTGATTTATTTATTTTTTAATTTACACGTAGCTTTTTAAATAAACTGTCCATTTTCTTGGTCAGGTAATAAGTATACCAGCTTTGGAGGAAAAACTTTAGCGAGTTAGATATGCGAATGAGTATAATAAGTTACTCGTATATCGATTTATTTACTATATTTAAATGAAGGTATGAGTAATAAAATATACTTTTGAACAGATACATATAGTTATATGGAAATGAAAGACAACTTCGTGTTTAGATATCAGTAAGAGCCTATGTATATTTCACATATTTTCTTAATATCCTTACAAATATAAAAAGTAATAATAAATTATTTAATATAAAAATTATAATGATACAAACCTCAGGAGAAACTCACCCAAAAATTAGCTCATGAGATTTAAATCCAACACCAGATTCTTATTTTTTCGATATGCTACTCCAAATCTCATATCTTAGAAATAGAATGTAATGATAACATCCACCATTGAAGAAAACACAGATCCAACGGTGCTGAGTGGATGCAAGGAAGGGGAATGACTCAGCTTATTTAAGTCACAACACGTGGACTCAACTTAATTCAGTTACTACACGTGGACTCTCAGTTTGTTAACTTATCAGTTGTAACTAGAGTTAATTTTCTGTTATTAGATTAGTTAGAGTTAAGCTTAGCTTTAGTTAGTTAATCATAGAGTTAGTTTCTCTTCTATTCCTTCTCGGGTCATATATATATACCAAGAAGAATAGCTGTGTAATCAGTAACTTCATTTTTCTCCATTCTTTTATCAAATCTTCAATTTCTTCATTCTTGATATGTAACATATAACTTTGAAATTTGGGGCTAGTATACATAGGTTTGTAAAAGTTCTTCGAGTTTAAATACGGGTGAGAAATGTATCCGAACGCACATGTCAGTCAATCTTCAAACTCTAATATTGGGTATGGACCAAGGAGATTTTAGCATCAACTGTGCATCTCTTACGTCTAATAAGAGTCGGAAAATTTTCAATAAATAAAGGGAAAGGATCCTTGATGTTTCCATTTAAGCAATTCATTAACAAATCAACGATTACAATTTTGGCGATAAAGTTCCTAAGTTGAAGAAGAAAAATAATTATTTTAATTATTGGTTGTTATTCACGTGATCATATTTAAATAAAAAAAAATCTATATCGCAAATTATGATTTATATACAAAATGCAAATGCATAAAGCAAGATAAAGAATTATTAATACTTGTAGTGATGTACTTCTCCTCAACTTGTGAATTAATGATATACTTGAATTGATAAAATAAATACATAAATAAATAAAATAATTATGTTTAGTACTGGAAACCTTAATCAGTCTTTCCTTTATTGGATGAACGGAACAATAATTTTTTTGGTTCATTTTTTCTGTGATCAATGTAAATAAGTTATTTATATTAAGTCCAAAATGATATCATTTTAGGACAAAAATCAAGGTATTTTTGTAATTATAATTTATTTAAGAGTTATAATAGTTTTTTCATTATAATTTTTAAATTTTTTAATCTAAAACAACGTCGTTTTGAGAGTGAATATAAATAACTTAAATATTAAAACCTAATTTTTTTATATAAATTTTAAATGACTCTTTATCTTATTTTATTTATGATCCAAACGATTCATATTGCTAACTATAAATATAGGTTTTTTATTTATTTAATTATAATGAAATATGAAGTAGATAAATTAAGTACTTTTAATGACTACCTCCCACATGCCAGTAATGAGATATATGGCTTTGATCAAAATATGTTCAATCAAAATGATTTATTGATTTTCACAACAACAACAACAAAAAAGATTTATTCAGCATGAAAAAAAGATTTATTGAGAAATTTAACGTGAATTAGGGAAAATGAATCTCATGGCAAGAAGTACAATCCTTAATAATCTCAATGCAATACAATTTGATTGTGTTTTGTATTGAATTTAGAAAGAATGTACAATAAGATTGGGGAACCGTAAATAATTATTTCACCTAAAAACTCAAGTGGTTAGATGAAAGTTACTTAATAATTTTATGGAAAAAGTGTGTGTTATTTTAAAGGATGTAAAATTGTGTCATTTTAAGTGAGGGGAAGAGATAGATCATGAAAGGAGAGAATGGACAAAAAAAAATGTGGGTCTCATCTATTTGTGAGAATGAAATAACACAAGTTGTGTCATTTAAAAGGACAAATATTTTTTCCTAATTTTATATATAATTTCTATAACAGGGACATTATTAAAAAATTACAAGAGAAAAGTATATAACCGAAACATTAATCTTTGAACTTTGCTGATTTCTCTTATTACTAGGAGTGGATTTTAAAAATACTACATGAGCTGGATTCAGATTCCCAGTCAACGAGAAAATGAAACACAGTTGTATAAGATTCCAAAATTTATGCTGTTACCAATTTGTCACCCTTAAAAAAAAAAAATTAACTAAACCGAAAGAGGAAATAAATATGTATGAATGAAACTTGATTACATTTTTTATTTTCATGTACAAACATCTTAGAATACAAACCATGCCAGCATAAAAAGTCGTTGCTAAATGCTCTATATGTACCTTAATCCTGCGTCTTCTTGACTTTCGTCTTGAAGAGTAGGATATATAAATTTTCCATTGAAAAATAAAGAAAACACCCCGTTGAATGTGTCACAAAAGAACCAAAACTTGAACCTACTATGCAATGCCAGGCCGGACCATAGGCTTTATCGAATTCCTGCACATGAACATACAAGGGATATATTGTATATAAATAAATTTATCAAAATAATGTTTAAAAAGAGAGAGAGAGAAACGCTATATTTTATAAATCTTGCTGACCAAATAATAAATAAACAAATAAACACTGTTTCTGTTGTGCACATGGGTTGAGACCCTGTGAAAAATAGGATTATTAATTGAAATGCACGTTTTCATGAGATAAATAGTGCATGATTAGCTATATTATTGGGGGCATGAGGGGTTTAACACATGGGCTGTTGGAGAATTCTGTAATTAAGATTTGATCTTACCAAAGGAGACTCAATTTAATCGTGTTAGCTTCTGGACGGTCAAGATCGGAAGATCCAGTCACAGGTGTTTGCTAGATCAGTTTCAATTATTCGAAACAGTAACTAAAGTGCCATTTTTTGTTAAATTTTTTATTCAAATACCGCGAACAGTATTTTTTACTAAATTGTGACGTGTCATAATTCGTTATCACTTGTAGCGAATTTTGTGGCCAATAATTTTGTGACACGTGGCCATATTGCAGAGCAAATTCGCTACTACTGGTAGTGAATTATGACACGTCATTATTTTCCTGTAAAAATGTGCCACGTATCATAAAATTATTAGCGGACGTAATTCGCTACAAGTGATAATGAATTACTCCCGGATGATATTATGATAAAAAATACTGTTGGCGCGAGTAAAAATTATGACAAAAAAGTGATATTTTGGTCCAATTATTCTATCCAATAAACAGAAAAAGGAATAGAGAAAGAAAATGTCAACACATGGTTGGTCTTGTCGGCTTTCGCCATTAATTCTTCTGTGAGGTTCATTGAACCTATCTTAATCAACCAAGAAACAAAGTTCCAAAAAGAAACACCAAGAAAATAATCTCAAAACACTTTTCTAGCTTTTGCGTCACAATCTGCTAAACAAAGAATACTACTACCTATCTCTATGCCCCTACAAGACCATAACTTAAGAGAATTTTGATGAAGTGAAATTAACTAAGGTAAAATAAAAAGCATACCTTCTTTATGTTATGAGCTATGTGTTTGCCGCTAAACTTCTCCAAGCTATCATATGTCATTCTGGCACAACGAAAGGCATGCACTTGCATGAAACTTGGCATGTCTGAGACCAAAACCTTCACCTGAAGATATGCAGCCACAGAGGACAATGTTTCAATTTGTGACACTGATTTTCGTGCCTCAACTATTCCTCCTGCTGGAAATTTTGTTTCAATATGGGACACTGATTTTCTTCCCTTCTCAACTATGATTTCTCTTGCTGGTGTTGATGCTGCCTCTTTGAAAGACACTGAATTTCCACCTTCCTCATATCCTCTTGGTGATCCAAACTCTGAGCAAGATGTTGACTTCCTTGCCTCAGTAAACCCTCCTCTTGCTGCTGTTCCAATGTCTAAGTCTCTGTTGCCATTGCTTTCAACATTTGAAGTTCTAGTTCTCGATATCCTGTGCAACCAACTGCGTGAAATGGATTTCTTATCCTGCTCCACTGCATGGTCTAACTCTTTCTTTCTCTGGTTTCCTGTGCCACCTTTGTAAATGTACAAGAACCCTCTCTTGTGTTGCTTGTCTTGGTTAGACATTTCTGAGGCACTCCTTTTTGAGACTCAGTGTATAAATAGTAGATCCAATTGAAACTAATAAGTCATTGAGATACGTATACATATAAATGTTTGAAAGGTATGTGTTTGGAATCACGAACCCGTGGAAGACCAATTATTAGAATAATACTTATTTGTAAGAAGGTGACATATTTATATTGGCAAACCCATGTGTTCCTGCCTGTGCTCAAGGATATATAACAAATGGAAGTGTTATATATTTACCTAAGATTTGATATATATTGGTCTAGTGCTTCCGAATCAAATAATGGCCATTGTGGTGTGGGATTAATCATTAGTCTCTGGGGCATATTTGTCCCCCACTGATCTGCTTCAAGACAGCCAGCATCCATGGACCCCTACCCTTGCCACCGCCAATTTGTTGGGTACCCCCCACAATAGGGTCATTATCTAGTATCTGCTACTTTGTAGCTTCAACCCCCCCTACCTTCTTTATCAACAACCTTTAATATTTGATAGGTATTGGTTGGAAATCGTTTGAGGGTTAAATTAACAATCAATAACGACCAGAAACTAAACTTGGTTGAAAATCTATGAGAAAGAGGTTCATTGTTTGACATTTTGGGGTAAGATAAGGTATTTTATATACTAGCAACACATATGAGATGTTATCATTTTGGCCTTTCCTTTCGGTTGAGGCAGATTCACCCACTCCTATCAATTAAATTATAAAAATAATAATTCGTGAACAATATTTCAGCAGTTATGAATTACAATTTATTTAAGAATTCCAATCAACAACCCCTTTATAAAAATTAAGATAAAACAAAAAAGAGAAGAAACTGTTGGTTATATATGGGCTAAAAAATTATAGATCTGCTTGAGTAACCATTTAAAAATCGGATTATCATTGTTGTAACATGACTTTTCCATTCTTCTCTCTGTTCTTTGTCTTTTGTTATTAATGCGGCTTAAATGTTTCGTAGATAAGTTATCCGCATTTACTCTTAAAATAACATTGTTTTGAGTTGAAAAATTAAAAAATTATAATAAAAAAGACTATTATAATCCTGAAATATATTATAATTACAAAAATACATTGATTTCCATCTCAAAATAATGTCAATCTTGGGATCAATATAGATAAGTTATTTTGAACCCAAAAATTATTTATACATCAATTATAATATTTATAAAAGATTAGAGTTAAAATGAGATGAATCGTGTCATGTGAGTTATGCACCAGAATATGTTCTTGGTCAAGGTTATTGATGGCATTGCGATTTTAATAGCCGGAAAGCGGCTCTACAGTTCATACCATACCTTCCAATTTTGTTCTTTGTGCAGAATATTTCTATGGTCTACGTGGTTACCCCACAACTGACTTTGTTATGGGACCTTCTGATTCGTTAGTCTGCGATGAGATTTTGCTGGGTCCATGAACCATAAACGCAGCAAGCAGTAATTATTTTTGTACATTAAAATTGTAGTGAAATATTTGAATAATATCAACTGATGCATAAGAATTAGTATTTGGGAAAATAGTTTGTTGTTTTTAAAAGACCTATCATTTTATTCTTTTATAATTATGTATTTTGGAGAGTATATAGTTATAATATTAAAATATATTTTTTCATTTTTTATGTCAACCAACAATTTCTGAAAAGAGAAAAAAAAAATACAATTTTAATATCATAACTAGATATTCCTCAGAGTATATAGTTATAAGGGATAAAATGACGTAATTTAGGTCATGTAGGTGTGTTTGAGAGTTTAAAGGAGAAGAGAAGGAAGGAGAGAGGGGGAAAGGAAAGAAAGGAAAATGAAAGATATTAGAGTATGCATGACAACCATTTTGTTTCCTGACACTGTTTCTAAAAAAAAAAAATATTATTTTCAATTGTTGTGCCATGGAATAGTTTCTGAGAAAAAACTGTGTTTGATAACATGTTATACTTTTATTCCGAGAAGGAGAATTGTATTTGATAACTCAACAAATAGTAGAATAAAAAGTCGCTCCTATTAAGCATAATTTTTTTTTCGAATTATTACTTTCTTTTTCATATGGTGTGGTGGTGACGGTGGTGGTGATGACATGGTGGTGGTGATGGCAGTTGCTACGACGATGATGGTGGTGACAGTGGAGGTGGTGGTGATGACGACGGTGGTGGTATAACGTTAGCGACAATGATGGTGTAGGTGGTCGTGTCAAGATGGTGCTGGTAGTGGCGATGATAATAATGGTGGAGAGTGATTAAGAGAGACATATATTTTTCTTATTTTTTTTTTGATAACAATATATTTTTCTTATTTTGTATTAGGGAAATAAAAAACAGAAACTTTTTTTATTCTTTTTTTGTTCTCCCGCATTGAAATTGAGCTAATTTATTCTTAAAAACAAAAAAATAAACCGATTTTATCAAACATTATTTTACCCATTTTTGTTCCCCTTATTTAGGAGTTAGACATATGAAAAGAGAAAAAAATGAAGAGATAATGAGGTATTTTTACAATTTTATTTTTTCTTAAAAAATTATTATAATTATGATATTTTATAAATTAAATTAAATTTAAAATTTTTAAAACAAATAATTATATTAAAAATCAATTCTCCCTCTAAAAATTGCTTTTAGTTCTCCCTCTAAAAACTTGTTTTTTCTCTCTAAAAAATGTTTCTTATAATTATAATTAAATAAGGTTTAGTTTCGATTTACTATATAAAAATTTGAATAAAGACCCTTTGGGTCCCTAACGAAGAATACGATCCCACTTTCGTTCCTGACAAAAAAAATCTATATTAGTCTTTTTTTAAGGAGTAAATTAAGTTTTCATTGAATTTCTAATAGTCAATAGACCCCATTTTCAAAGAACTGAAATTATAAACGGATTGACTTTATTTTTGTAAGGGACGAAAGTGGAGACGACCATGTTTTTTGTTAGGGACCGAAAAAGGGACTTTAGTCTAAAAATTTTATATTATTATTTGACAAAAAATATTATTTTTGTGTAATGAAATCAAATAATAAAAAAAAATGCCTAGCAAATCGGAAAAAATATGAAATTTTGGGCAACTAAAAGGCCCACCATGCACATAGCTAAGCCCTAGTAGCACTTTGTTTCGTTTTTTGCATAGTGCAGCGAAAGAAAGCTAGGGCTTTCGGTTTTGCTTCTACGTTTGCGTCTACCAAAATGACCAAGTAATTACAAAAAGTGATTTTACATAATCTATATTTTATTAAAAAAAATTCACAGCAATCTAGTGACCAGCCAACCAGTTTTGAGCATTGCAATTTCATCTGAAACATCAAATTCCAGCATACCAAACGTTAAAGAAAAAAATTAAAAAAAAGGCTGATTAATCAATTTCATCTTCTCGTCCGTGGCAAATAGGAGCCTGATTAAATGAGGTAAAGTGCCGGTGTTGAGGATGGCACGGATTATTGGAGGATTTTACAAAAAGTACTTATTTTCTTTTCCGTTTTTTTAAGGATAAAAGATTTCAATTATCTCGGTGAGTCCAAAACGACATCATTTTGGAGACGAAAATCATGTTTTTTTTTAATTATAATTTATTGCAGGGTTATATTAATCTTTATCATTATAATTTTTTAATTTTACAATTCAAAACGACACCGTTTTAAGTTCACCGGAGATAACTTTATCTCCAGTAACTGAAGAAACATTTTTTCCTTTTTTTAAATCATAAATAAGCCATAAGCAAAAACTTTCCCTTTCTTTCCTTTTTCAGTTTTCCTCAAACACACTCTTAAGGGGTCTAGGGGTGCTTCAATATGAGGTAAGAATTTTTTAATCATGGCTGTTAAGAATTGGCCTCTTATACGGTGCAGAGCATATTTATTGATTAAAAAATTTATTTTATTTAAATGATGTTTGGATGTATATGTATTTTTTTTAGTCAAATGAAAGTTATACAACCTGGCAATCTCTTCTCACAAATCTTCTTCCCCCTTATTCTTGTGGGATTACCCTGAACCCTCATTAGGGTGTCTTTTTATCTTGGGGGACGTTTAACTGTATATTTTCAGTTTCTCATAAAACAATTATATTCATAGTATGATAATCATGCAAAAAATAAAAAAAAATGAATCATAGAAACTGGTTAATAAAATCATAATTCATATAGGGGACTGGAGGTTGTCATTCATCTTTACTAATTTCTCTTGCATTCCTAAATATCAGAGGAAAACTACTTTCTTGTTGAATTGTTGTCATTTGTCATTACCAAATTTTTAATTTTAGAATCACATCTTTGAGGAAGTAATTCACTAATGTTTTCTGCGTTCTAGATGTGTTCATTGTCAAATGTATTTTTCTGTAGAAATACAATTTTCCGTTTGTTTTATGCCAGTACCATATTTCTGTATTTTTCGATTAGTAATTCAGTATTTCTGTAGAAATACCCTATTTGTGCACGGAAAGGAGAAATTAACCTTCAAAATCAAAAGCAAAAGTCTAGAAAATAATTGAGGATAGGAAGAATCAAATCATCAAGCTGTGCGTGGAAACTATACAGTTTAATAAGCTGCTAAATTACCCACCGGCTAATTTTTAAAGAAAGTAGGGGAATCAAATTCTTGAAACGGTAAAGAGAATCATAAATTTTGTTGGATAGCAAATGCAGTTCCTATCACATGGTCAATTAAGGAATCATAGTAGGAATGCAATCCCATCCCTAATCATTGATTGGACACAGAAAAGCATTAGTTTCATCAAGTTAAAAAGATTGTGCTCCTTGTACCGACTAGTAGATATATGCGGCAAAATTCTGAGAGGCCTAGAAGGGACCACAACGAAGGAATAGTTGACCAAGCATAGCTTCATAACCACCTAGACTCTTACTACCATATTGTTAAGATTGTAGCAAATTATAAAAAATATGATGAATATATATTTGCTCTCTTTTAAGGCTATTCGCGCCACTACCAGATATAATCTTCCTATCACACGCTAGTAGGTCTTGGTAACTATTACTATTTTTGTCTCTTTTTTCTGTACAAAAATAGAGTTCTATCACAGAACACTTTCAAGAAGAAATATGTTATGGGTAAATTGTTTTCGGATAACAATCTTATTAGTGCTGAAAAAAAAACTTCTCTCAGGTTAAATAAGAGAAATATTATCCTTAAGTTATATTTTAAAATGTCTCTAGAATGCATAAGAATGTGTTTTATTTTATCTTATGCTACCTTTTATGGGCATTTGAGATACTAAAAGTAAAAATATTTATAAAATCAAATTATTTGACTTTATTTATTTGATGCTAGTTAAAAAACACGCTATTGTTTACACAAGCACGATACCTCATTAAATGCCAAATAAAAGGTTGAGTTGCCTCAACTAACAATGCTGTGCACGTTGATATTTTCAAAATGATTTGAAACTGGAGCTTAATATTAATAATAAATACAACATAAAATTAATGAAGTCAAATGGGTTTTGTTATTTAGCAAAAGCTAATGAAGTCCTTACATGTTAAAAAACTTTTAAACTATAGGAACTTATTAAAAGTTTAGTGAAACTATTTGGTATACACAGTAATTTAACCGTTATTTTTTTGTATAAAAAGTTTCAACAAAATGACACACAGTGTTATATTTTTATACTATGTTCATTCTTCTTAGATGATACACCTAGTATTGTTTGTTGCCTTTGGTATTATCTAATATATTATGTCTTCAAAATAAAAGTGTTACTATCATGCATTTATATTCTACTTTGGTAGTTAGAGGCTGAACAAAGTCCTGAACCATTTTCCAGCTGTGCCTATCCTGCCTAGGTACTCCTTCCTAACATGGCTCAAATCTCCCTTGAGGGACAAGTAAAGCACGAATTGTCAAAAAGGATGCACTTTGTTCTCGGTTACCGTAACTTCAGTTATAAATGAGTAGTTAATTTTCATTTATAGTTTTTGTTTTGTGGATGCAAGAAATTGAATTGAACTAAACAGAGTTCATATAGATGAGCTCATTAACCCTCTTACCTGCACTCTCGTTCATTTCTGCTTTTCAAATTGTGAAAGTTGCAGAAATAGGAGTTCCTTGCAGCCCAAAACATCCAGAAAGAACTTCATGCTGTTTTGGACTGAAGGGACCTCCTAGTTCTTCACTTTCCTCATATTCACTCTACAACTCAATCTGTTCAAAGGCTTGATACTTACACTTGTCATTAGTATTTTCAGTTTTTATTTCTTTTTGTACATAACTTGTCATTAGTATTGCTAATAAACTATCACAGAGGATCTGTCATAGCTAGACCATTGCCTCGGCAAACTTTATTTTTGTCTTCCTGATTTGTGTTCTTATGTTTCTGTTCAAGAGCTAAACCACTTTTGGTATTTCAAGAATTCAACCCATTTCTTCATCCTCCATTAATTCCTTAAAAAATCATGACATTTTGTACTGTAGCCAGTTGTGTCATATTTTCCCAAAATTATAATCTTTTTCTCTCTGAAAATATGTGGCTGAGAAGCGTAAGTTAAATCAACCTCCCTCATTCATGCAGGGGAAGCCAAACCAAATTTAGGGGACAACCCCACCCCACAAGACTTGTAAATGGGTCACCAATTCATATGCTTCTAAAACACTCAAGGTAGGTGTTGCTGGTATAGTGGTATTGGTAGTAATCAAGTTAGTTCCATGGATTCTCGTTTTCTCCAAGGAAATGTAATTGGTTACATTTACAATGAACTCATTGTCATGCTTAAATTTCTCTTTCTTTCTTAATTAAGCTTTGAAACTTCTTATGATAGTATATTCGTTAAGAAAAGTCATTAATGCCTCATCTGTAGTCTAAGGCAGTCTCACCTTAAAATTGGAAGTCAGATGTAAATTTGACAAGAAAATATTATAGTTTCTGCTTTGTGGTTAAGCTTGGTAATCTTTTTGTATTAGTACTATTTTCTTTTTTTTTTTGTTGGTGGAATTATAGCTGTGGGTCACCCATTCACCCCAAGTTCCAAGTTTAATAAGAGTTCCACTAATTTTGCTTTCACAATAAATTATTATTTCTATTGCTATTTGCTAACATACAACATAGTTTATATATTTACACAAGAATTCATGGGAATTGAGCTCAGGCATATAACTGCCACTTGTTGCTACATTGGAATCATTTGTTGAATCTGCTGCTGCCGATCTTGAATGTTGCAATTGAAGCGCGAGCAAGACCACGCATTCCCCTCTGATAAAGGTACTACCGGGATGTTGTCACAGTTGCAGATTTCAATCATCGAGCCATCTGGGTCATGGAAGAATAGCTGATCAACATAGATCCCATTTTCCTCTACTATGTTCTTCACGTACTCTATTTTCATTTGCTTCAGTCTATTCTCCACTGCTGCTATATTTTCACACTAGAAAAAAAGAACAATTCGCTCAGTTCACGTAAAGTACTAAAACAGATATATATATATATATGACTATGCTTTTAAGTTGAAATGATTTACAGGTACTGGGAGATAGAAAGATACTTGGAAAGAAATGTGGTTGTCCTTAGGATTAATGTGAACATTCTTGGGCATGCCTTCTGGGTCTTCTGATTGAAGGAGGTGTATGCCAATGCCATAATTGTATAACCTACTCAGCATCATAATCAAATCCAAAAAGTCAATTAGTATTCAATTTCAATGCAAAACAGTAAGCGAGTCTGTACCCCATTGATGTTCCTATGAATTTTGGCAATAACATAATACAAATATTAATAAAAATGATTAAACATACCATGCACCATTGAAGTCTAACGAACTAGGCCTCCTAATAGGAGAGAACCCAAGAACGTTCACGTAAAAATCAACGGACTTCTCCAATGATCCACACATCAATGAGATATGATTCAATGACTTCAGTTGCAGGGGATTGGCCATTCTTTCTGTCTTTCCCTTTTCTCTTTTGTGAATCAGACAGAAAATGAAAAGAGAGGTAGGTTCTGAATTTTATGGCGGTGCAAAAAGGTTCAGGCGAATCAGAGAATATTATGGATAAGATAGAGAAATTTGAAGGAATCCAATGCCTCTGCCAGCTTCTTTTTATAGGGACTTGGTAAGAAAACTCTAATATTTTCTTCTGCATGTGTTAGAAGTTTCATGTTTCAATTTTGGATTTGTTTTTGTTTAGATTCGCACAAAGATTTTATGACACGTAGATTTCGTGTTGGTGAATCAGGTCTCGACAGGCAACACTTATCTTGTTTCACGACATGACACGTAAGTGTGTGTTTGTCTTGGTCTATTACTTTTCGCAGCTGAGAAAACATGTCAATGCTAAGGGGATTAAAACTACAGATAAGCATGCAATTGAGACGGAGATGCTTCTCATGCAGAGAAAAGCTACCAACTACGAAATTTCTCTAACTAACATCCTCATTCTGAAGGCGGCAAAAGCATATTGTGAGCTGTGTTCCTCTTCTGAATTTTTTTTTCTTATGACTTTTAACAAGTGGATAGTTTTTCTAAACTTAGTCATTTTTTTTTTTAAAAAAAATTATATTATATGAAGAAAAATAAAGTAAGAAGTTAACAAGATTATTAACAATTCAATAATTATTTTTTGTTCCATTTACTGTAAAAGAATAAAAAGTTTGTGTCAAGATGCTAACCTGTCTATATATATTATACTTGAGAAAAATGTACAAATAAATATATAATTTTACTTCATTGGTCTATTTGTTTTTGAACTGTTATAATTGATACACTAAGTCTTTCTGCAAATTAAGGACTAACTTAATAATAATAAACATATTCTAACCATTTACTTTTATTAAATCTAAACCATTGACATATTTTAATTAAAAAACCGTATCCTATTTTAGCTTTCTTTTATATCACCAGTAAATTTGTTATAACGATAGTTAAGAGTATAAAAACTAAACGGGAGAAAATTAAAGTTAAAAGTGGGCTTTTTGACCCTTATGCCCCTTAATTGATAATTAATTACCAAATTGCCTTTCATTCAAAACTATTTCGAAAATTTACCCTCCCCAACAAACATAACACCAATCTGCCCCTGTTTGACCGTTGACCACGAAGCCTACCCGGGTACACCATTACCTACCCGGGTAAATTTTGAAACTTTTTATCTACCCGAGTATGTAGGAGTGTACCCGGGTAGAGTTCTTGAATCTGGGAAAATAGTTGAATTATTTACCCGGGTATGGATCAGTGTACCCGGGTAAATCGCGTCCAGAAACCCCAATATGTATGGATTTCGGCCATTGTTGCGAGGTATAGGGTTTTTGAAACCCCAAATCTCTCTCTCTTACCCTCTCTAATCCGAAACATCACACATATTTCATCTCATCATTTCAGAAAGCTGAATCTTGGTGGGACATTGAGATTACATCTCCACACTCCCATTTTGTGCTAAAAAATCCGAACCAACCTCCAAACCCAAAACCTAGATCTAATTTTTGTGTGAAAGATGAGTTCAAGTCCAAACATGGTTCCTATAGTTATTTACTACAATGGGAGGCATTTTGAAGGTCCGAACGGTGTCCGATTTGAAGGAAAAACAAAAACGATGAAAATCAAAGTGGGCACTACATGCAATGAACTGAAGGAGAGAATTCTTCAAAAAATGGGGTCAGAAGGCATACATTCCATCCACCGCATGATAGCCAGGTTAGAGACTGTAGTGGATATGGATACAATATACTACATTGGAAACGATATAAATGATGATGAAGATGTGGAGTTCGTAACAGATGCGTTTGTTGAATGGAAAGTATTAAAATATATTGAGATATATGTTGAAGTTGATGTTGGACAATCTTCATCTTTACCGGTGCATACAACCACTACTGCACACTGTACCGGTCAAGAAGATACAGTTGTACGATCTTCTGCACCTCCTCAGGTAGCATTGGATGATGATGAAGAGGATGAAGACGAGGACTATGTGGACAGCGAAGATGAGGGAGAACCTGAAAGTGCTATTCCAGAAGGTGATTCGTCAGACACTGACGTGGACGGTAATTTTGAGGCTGACATGAGCGCCGTAAGTCTCGGTACCCCAACCTTGTCACCACTTCATGTCGACCTAGTCAGTAGTGGTAAGTTATTAAATTTGAACATTTGCTTTAGACAATTTATTATTTGTGGTGGTATTCATTCAGACAAATGAGAGTTGATCTTTAGATGCAGGGTCTGAGGAGCCATTCTGGAATGAAAGCCAACATTATTCATTCATTAACTGGGCGCACCCTAATGACGAGTTGGAGATCCTATATGGCGATGATGACTTGCACGGAGGTTGGAAGTTAGGAGATCCGTTATTTGTGCAACAAGAATTTGGGTCCAAACCAGAATTGCAACATGCTGTGAAGATACATTGTATGAAGGGGCGCAGGACAGCCATAGTTGAAAAAAGCGACGAGTCAAGATTTGTTATGAAGTGTAAAAACCATGCTACGGTTGTCCCTGGTATATGAGGGCAATTAAGCCGAAGAAGGGAGCTAATTGGGTGGTCCGTAAATGGGGTCAAGGTCACACATGCCTAAATCAAGGCCTAGCACAGGATCATAGACAGTTGGATTCAAATGTCATTTGTGCGGCTATAATGAGTATGTATTCTACTGTGTATTTAATGATTCAGATTAATTGAGAATATGGTAAAGTTATTTTTTTTTCCAGATATGTTAAAGGAAGATCCATCCACAAGACCAGCTCTGATACAGGAGAGGATACAGGGAACATATGGATACAACATAACGTACAGGAAGGCCTGGAAGGCAAAAATGAAGGCCATCGTTAAGTTGTTTGGTGACTGGGAGAAATCGTACGCATTCTTGCCAAATTGGCTGAAGTATATGACGGAGGTGAATGTGGGTTCTGTGTTCAAACTTGAAACAAATCAATGTTTTGATGAACGTCGGGTTTATACAGACAGGGCCGTATTTCAAAGGGTTTTTTGGACATTTCACCAATGCATTGAAGCATTCAAACACTGCAAGCCTATAATTCAAATTGACGGCACTCATCTGTATGGGAAGTACAGAGGTACTCTATTGATTGCAACATCTCAGGATGGAGATGGATTTCTGCTCCCTATTGCCTTTGCTGTTGCAACATCTCACGGGAAGTCAGCTCGCCTTGCGAGTAGCCAAGGTTCTGGTAGAAGGCTCTTACCATAACCTCCGAGTATGGGCACCGCATCTCCGCCAGGTGAAGTAAATGTGTCTGCTCAAGAAGCGTCACAATGTCAAAACGCTCTAGGTTGAAGAATGCTGAATCCAGTGATTTCGGTTCGCAGATCTTCCGAGTCATGAAAAACTTCACGAACTTCTCGTGTGAAGGTATGTCATCCTCAAACAAATATCCGAACGTCAAGTCCGGAGCCTGACTCGAAGCAGCCTGGGGCTGAGAGGATGACGACCCATCGTGACGACTCTTGGTTCTTCTCTCGGAATGGGTCACTGGCAGCTTTGAAACGCGTCGAGAGGTCATTGTGTCACACTATTAAACTGAAAAAATAACCAAAATCAGAAATTAGATACATGTTAGGGTTAGGGTTAGGGTTAGGGTTAGATTCAGGGTTAGGGTTAGGGTAAGCGTATGACATACGAATTGATAAAATAATTCGGACAGAATCAAATGATATAAACGAAAATACAATGAATCAGAACAGAAATCATAACATAATTGAAAAAACTGAAAAAAAAAATGCACCTTTGATCGATTTCAATCGGTAGAAGGCAGAGAGGTTGCAAGGTCCGCGAATGATGATCATAAACAAGACGAATTAGTGCAAGATTATGCCTGAAATCGCTCAAGAAGACACTCCTCCAGCAGCTCTACTCGGGTACCCCTTTTGTGGGTTTTCGAAATGGGGCTGCTGGGGTATTTTAAAACCCTACCGTCGATGTTTACCCGGGTACACTGCTCCTTACCCGGGTAAATAATTCAACCATTTTCCCAGATTCAAGAACTCTACCCGGGTACACTCCTACATACTCGGGTAGATAAAAAGTTTCAAAATTTACCCGGGTAGGTAATGGTGTACCCGGGTAGGCTTCGTGGTCAACGGTCAAACAGAGGCAGATTGGTGTTATGTTTGTTGGGGAGGGTAAATTTTCGAAATAGTTTTGAATGAAGGGCAATTTGGTAATTAGTTATTAATTAAGGATTATAAGGGTCAAAAAGCCTTAAAAGTGACTACTTATAAAAGACAAAATGGTATATTTAGGAAAACAAAATTTGTGGCTGTACCAATAAAGAAAATAGTTTATTTGACATTTTAAATTGGTCCACGAAGCAATTTTTGTCAAATCAACTACAAATTTGTATTTATTCAATATACAAGTTGAGTATGCACCGTACTCGCCTTAAAAAATTTCTTGCTTCATGTCATTTGAGATAGAGATAAATGAAGCAAACAAATTAATTTTTTACATTATATTAAAATATAAACTATGCATTGATTATATTAAACAAGTTGAAAATTAAATGAAATTTTCATTTTTTTATTTTTTCTGATATTTAAAAATAAACAGGAATTATTCTTACAACTTTTTTTTTTCTTGCAATCAATTTCTTAATCATTGGATTAAAATCAATTTGATTTTGATTCAAAAATTAAAAAAATATTATAAAGTTGTATTTGTAAGTTGTAACCATGCTTGAAAATAAATTCCCGAACTTTGTATAAAAAAAAAATCCCAAACTATTATTATTATTATTATTGAGATGGGCTTGGACTTCAAGGTAGTCTCGACTCTCGAGCCCACACTTTTACGCCGCAGCTCGGACGGCCATAGGGTTTTGTGGAATTTTCCGGGAAAGAAATTTCCGACGAGAAAATGGACGAGGAAATGCAATTGCAAGTTTCTCTCGACAAGCTCCCGATAAAGCGATTGGAATCCATCGAAGAAAATGGAATCGAACGATTCCCTTCGTATGCTTCTCCTCCTCCTCCTCTTATTTCTCACTTCTTCTTCTTGTTTTTTTTTTCTCCCTAATACTAAATGCGTTTCAACAGTATCGATTAGAACAACAAAATTGAACCGTAATATATGTTCGTACTTGTTCTCGTAACTTCTTTCTTCTCAATTTGTGCACGTATCTGTGTATCTTTGTTCTTGCAGAGATGTTGATTACGATGAGAAGCGACTCTCCTTAATCAGGAGAATTGACTTCGCTTGGGCCGTTGAGAACGACGAGGACAAGAAAAGGCAGAAGAAGAGCTCAAAGGAGACCTCAACACCATGGCAATGGCAGAGCATGGTGGAGAATTTGCAGTTGGCTCATCAGGAGCTCTCTGTCATAATAGATCTCATCAACACTGTGAGTAGTGTTTGTTACTTTCAGCAATGAAAAGTTTATGAATCCGGATGATAAGTTTAATTTTCTCTCTAAATATCTGTTTGCGACAATGCAAGAGAATTGCTTGAGGCTATTCGGTTTCTGACAAAGATCTCTTGTAAAGGCTCCATTTGGAACATGATTTAGAAGAAAAAGCTTGTGTCCTAGAATGGAATGAAATGAATATCAACTTATAATGCCAGAGGAACTAACAATCATCAGTTCATCATGAGACATCTTGTCTTAGTTGGTTCATTATGAAACTTTTCATATATAACCATGTTATTTACATTCTAGGGTAGCAAATTTAAATAGGGAAAAGTTCAAAAAAACCCCATGATTTCTCTCAGAATCACTTATCCCTTATTTTTTATATTTTTTTTAATCATTTATCCCCCTATAGTTTTTTTCATCCAGTCCACCTTCTAACACTGTTAAAAATTCAGTTAGACTATCCATTTTACCCTTATAAAAAGAATCACTGTGAGACTATCTATTACTGTGTTCCTACTCACCTTTCTCATTTTCTTGAGATGAAAATTTCATAGTGATATAGTGAAAATTTCTTGAGATTAAAAATGCATTATTATTATTTTTATTTTTTTTGGCGCTGTTGTTTGTAGTGTAAGTTATGTGTAGACTGACAATATTGATATGATATGATGCTTTGTTCAAATTATTGTGCTTAGGTGGAAGCAAACGATGCAGTAACTGTGGCAAGCATGACAAAGCCAAAACTATTACCAAATGAAGTTTTGTCCGACCTTGCTGTATGTGCAGCCACCAAGCTGCAATGCTACCGTGTAAATATACTTCTATCTTCTTCTTTTTCTATTATTTTTTTTAGTTTATTTCCAGTTTTGTTATGTTCATAGTAGTAAGTTAAGCTCCCTTTTATAATGAAGAAAGCTTATTTCCTTAAATTAAAAGAATGCAACTCAAACTTGAATCTCTTACAACTTGTGTATGACTACAATCACACCTGGTTTAGCTTTTACTGGGATATGTAATGAAATCTATATAAAATTTTCTCTTCTCTGTGCAGCACGTTGGGAAATATTTCAAGCAATCTGCAAAGGCTTTTGAACAGCAGGTTGCTCGGGAAGCTAGGTTTTATGGTGCCCTTATCAGGTAATTTTCCATCATTAACTTTTTAAATTTAAGACGCTTATCTGTGTCAATGCTTGCAAGAAGCTCACTTTAGGAGAATGCTTCTAGTTTACATAACGGTGAATCACATGTCCTGATAAGTGGACAGGTTGCAGCAAAATTGGAAAGTTAAACGGCAACGTCAGGCAGCTATAGTTCCAGGGAATGAAGGCTTCACCTTTGATCTCTTTGATAACTTGTATGACCAAGCAGCTATAATTCGGTCATCATCTATGTCCACTGTTCGCGTCAATCATGATGCAGCTGGAATGCTGGCAATAAACATGCCTCCCAATTTATGCCATTCTCTCCAATTCGGTTTTGTTGGTGCACAATCAGATTACTTACAGAGGAAATCCAATGAAAACAAATCCCACTTTTCAGGCGATCATCATTTTGGAGAAACCGGCCAAGAGTCTTTAAGTGATGAAGAGTGTGTTAAAAAAACACATTCCCTCCTTCGTGAAGCACATAAAGCAATTTTCAACGAGCAGGTAGATTTGTTCTTTTATTATTATTGTTGGTGGTCGTGGTGGCTGTTTAGTTTATCTTGTATGTCTAATTTCCGTACTTTGAACATCCCCCTATCGGTGGTTTGTTGCTTTGGTACTTGTGCTTCCAGGTGTTTGATCTTGTGAATCGTGAGGCATTTAACACATCTATGGGTGTCAGTGTGACTGGAATCCGGGAAAATTATTTACAGTTAAGCTTAGGTCAAGGAACCTCTGTGTACTTATCACTAGTGTCCTCTAGTCAAGATCATCCGACAGTTGAAGGTGAACTCACCAATAATGTAGAAAATGCAATTTTACCATTGGAATCATCTGATGGGATGAAGTTTGATGACAAACAGAACACTCCTAAGAAGAAAGGGCAGTTTTCCAATTCTACCTGCTATGAGATATACATTCATCAGATTTTTCACGAACATATGTTTGGAAGAGGCAGTGAAAAAACAATTTCCTCTGGTAGTCGTTTAAGTGGTGTACAGACAAAGGATGGGTCCAGTCTTCTTGGTCATTTTTTTACGTCTTTGGCTCATAGGATCTTTTCAAGTAAAGTTCTTGCAGAGCTGGAAAATGTGGTATTGCTCTTTTGAATTAGACTTAAGCTGCTTGTTAAATATGGACATTTTGTTTATTGAAGTCTTTGATATCTGCAGGTATGCAAGGTCCCATATCTCCAGCTGATTTCTAATCCCACATGGCATTCTCGGGCGTCATCATGGACACTCTTCATGGATGTTCCTCAGTCCATTCTTCGTGGTTGCCAAATCAAAACATCAGATTATTGTGAGAAAAATGCTATCAAGCGTCAGCGGCAGTTTTGGACTAAGGTGGTGGTAAACGATGATTGCATCAATGTTAAAGGAGAAGGTTCTCCTGATGTTGCTGGCCTGTTCAAGGGAAAGCCTGAGGAAACTCACTCAATAAACAAATATGACTGCAACTTAGCTGATCTTCCTGTGATTATTTTGCAGCAGGTAAAAGTGAAAACAAAAAGTTGATGTTATTGCAGTAATTATTGTATTCGTACTTGGCGGATTGCATTTATGTAGTTGAGTCACATAAACTTGAGTCTTACGCATAATAATCCCTTCTTATTATCGCAATTGAAATCATACAGGTTGCAAGTCAAATTATTAACTGGCTCTATCAGGAAGCTCTGACGGTTGGGATAAAGGCAAATCGGGATTTCTTGTGCTTATCTTTTGAGCTGGAGCAGGGTGAAACACTCGGCCTGGTTGCACATGTGGATCCAGACGATAGTGAAGGCTGTATATCTTGGTGGTTGGTCATGGAGGACAGTTTTGCAGAGGAGCAAAAGCTTCATATGAACATCAACGATGGTGCATCTGAATATAGGAAATTCCTAGGCCATTTGTCTCTTGATTTGCTATATGCAACGCTGATCGACTTAGTTGGTTTGTGTAGTGGTGGCGGCGGCCAATGAAGTTATATTGCTTGTGTTTTGTTGCACCAGTCAAGTGGAAGATCTTCGAGGTCTCTAAGCCAACCATCAGACGTTGGATTCGATGTCTCTGTCTCTTTTTTTATTTCATGTTCCTTCCACTTCAACTGTTTTTCTTTGTCTATTTAAGAAAAAATAATAATAGAGGGAACTTGAAAATAAAAATTGAGATGAAGAGAAAAAAATGTTAAAAATATTTATTTTTTTTCTAGAGTTTTCTTATTTTCATTTGGATATATTAAATATTTTATTTGGATATCTAACAGACTAACACGAGAATTTAAAATTTCTTTTTTCATTGGATAATTTTTCTCGCGGAATGAAGAATTTGAAATAACATCTTATTATGAAGAATTTTAAATTTCTATCCTGATTCCAACAGGTTCTTCAGCTTAATCATCACTTTCGAAAGAGAAAACGTTGAGAAATCTCCCGGTACCGATGAAGTAGACATAGAAAGTGTTGAAGGCATGGGTGGCGATGGATCTAGGTGACTGCAGATATTCATTGCCTTCGTTGGGGAGATGTCGGAGCTTGGTCATAAGCTAAAGATCAAGTTGATATCCTTGGTCCATCTTTGACATCGACAAAAAAATGCATTTGACTTTTGATTGTTATTCCTTGTGTTTATTGTGCTTAGCAAGGATGGATCCAACATAATGGCGAGGGTTTAGAATCCTCTTGGGAATTAATTTAACGGGCGTTTGGTTGAGGAGAAATTTTTTGAATGCTAGAGAAATGTAATTACTAGGAAAATGGTTGGAAAATGAGTTTGATAGAAAAATGTAAAAAAAATTGTTTAGTTGACCGAAATATTACCAGGAAAATTTATTTAAATTTGTAAAATCTATGTTCGGGAGAAATTTCGCACTTTTTTTTTCATTTATCCAGTTAACTCTAAATACCACATCTCAAGTGGCATTCTGTAACAGTGAATTTCATCCAAAAATCAACACAAAAGTCATTTTTACATCTATTCTATTTGTCTAGTATTTTTTTTTAAAACCTGAATCAAACGTGGTATTTTTCAATATCCACTTACATTTTCCCATCAATCTCAAAATAAATCTTCAACCAAATACTACCTAAAAGTTTTATATAAATATCTCTAACAAGACTTCTTGGCTTCGAGCATAGATAATATACATGTTTATGTATTACATAAAAAATTAATTCAATTCAAAAATTTAAGATAATAATTGATGATTATGTTAATGATTTTATATTAATACCTCTCTAACACCAAGCTCATACAAACTTTTGATTTTTAATCATTTATACCTTCAATTGGCATTGAGTTGGAAGTTTTTCTGTTGAACCAATGACTTCAAGTGGAATTGGTGGAAGAACCTATACCTATGTTGTCAAATCTTCATCCGCATCCACTATAACATCTTCTCATTCCTTAACCATCTCATAGACCAGCAACAACTCACCACGAGTAATTTGCTCCAGAAAAACCTCAAACCCGTTGAAAGCTACCGAACCAAACATACAACGAAGCCGCCACACTCCTCTTCACAGTGTATTCGAACCTTTTCTTCATCGAAAACCTCAAGAAACCAAACAAATTCACCATTTCTATTTTATTTTATATTTCATATGAATAGTTGTAATTTAGAAGAAATAATATACGTTACAATTCAAACTCTCATACAACTTTCTGACTGTGTCATTGGTCCAATAAAATGCTTCAACAAAATTTGTGCTTCCCTTATAATGGGATGAATTTTAAAGTATTCAAAAATGGCGATCTTTGCGGCTAGACTTTGGTTTTTCTATGGTGTCGGTGTGAGGATAGTAGGTTTGGTCGTTGAATATGAGTTTTGTAAGCAGAAACACTTTGAAAACAAATTTACTTTATAAACTTTTTTATGTATAAAATTTGCTCCTACAAGACTACTAAATTAAGCAAGTTGTTGCTAAGAAAAATTGAGCCAATACTGACGCAAAAAATGTCAACATGATTAAGAAACAAGAATAATTATATTTGGATGCACGACGCCTACCATCTTAAATGTGCAGTAACACCAAAGTATAAGTGCATATTAGTTCTAATTAAACTAATTATAATCAAATAATTAAAATTATATAAGTGTAAACAAATGTGAATTAGTGATATATGTACCCAACGCTGTTCTACAAGGTAGTGTTTGGTTGAAGGTTTATTTTGGGATTGATGGGAAAGTGTATGTGGATATTGGAAAATACCACGTTTGGTTCAGGTTTTTTCAAAAAATACTAGGCAAATAGGATAGATGGGAAAATGACTTTTATGTTGATTTTTGGATGAAATTCACTGTTACAGAATACCACTTGAGATGTGGTATTTTGAGATAACTGGAGAAGTGAAAAAACAGGTGCAAAATTTCTCCTTAACATAAACTTTGTATATTTAAATAAATTTCTCTGATAATATTTCGGTCAACCAAACAACTTTTTTTACACTTTCCAATAAAAAAAATTTCTCCAGAACTAGGGGTGTCAATATGGGTTTTGACACGCGGGTCAACCCGCGACACGACACGAAAATTCGTGTTCGGGTTGACCCGTAAAAAAATTCGTGTCGTGTTCGTGTTGGAAAAAATGACACGCAAAAAATTCGTGTCGTGTTCGTGTTTATGAATTCGTGTTCGTGGCGACCCGTATTATTTTTAATTATTATTTTTTTATTTTTTTATTATTATTTTTTAATTTTTTATTTATTTTCGATCTATTTTTTTAAATTTTTTTGTCAATTACTGTTTTGTCCCCTATTTTGCGTGTTATTTGTGTCGTGTCGTGTCAACCCGCAAAAAATTCGTATCGTGTCAGTGTTGAAGATTTTGACACGAATGAAAATTCGTTCGTGTTCGTGTTGATGTATTCGTGTCGTGTCAACCCATATTGACACCCCTATCCAGAACGAAACAGTACCTAACAAACATAATGCTTGGATGCACGTTATCAAGCAAACCAATCGTAGATAGAAGTCCTCGACCCCGTAATTCACGAAGAAAGAATCCCAAAAAAGAAAAAGAAAAAAGTCAATCATGGTTAGAATACAAGCATCAAAAGGTTATACAAACTTGTGAGCTGGACAGCTTTCTTCGTGGAAATTGTGGTTCTAGACTTCACTCGTCCAAGTTTTCACATTATGTTTTGCACTTGGACACGCTTCATTGAAAGTTGGGTTTCGTTTATTATAAAGAGAAATATCTTACCTGTTTTTAGAAATATTTGGTTTAATAGGTATTATTTTAGTGATAACATTAAAAATATAAATAATTAAATTAGTATAATATTTAATGATACAAATAGAAGTTCCGAAAATATCTAATAATTTCTTATTGGTGTATTTAAAATGAGCACCGCATGATTTAATTTACGGATTGAGCAATTTGTAAGTGCTTTTATAACAAACAAACAAAAATCTCTTATTCTATATATTTAACCTGCATTGTATCAAGTATAATATTAAAAAAATAGTCAAAGTAACAAATAATAATGACTTAAATAACTATTATGATGCACGTTGAATGTCACATAAAAATTTCTTACTCCTAAGGAACGTTTGGTAGAGGAGATTTTTTTTTTTTTATCCGAGAATTTCAATTTTCAAAAATATAACTTTTACATTCAGTTTACGATAATATCTTAAAATTAAAAATTTAGAAAAATTTAATTTTTCGAGAATCTCCCAAAATATCGTGTATCAAACGACCCCCTAAAGTACCCCATTGGGATTACAGAAAACTGATTGGGTTAGGACTTTGGAGCCTCCAAATTAGACACACACATGAAATTCTCATTATTACAATCCATAAATTATCACAACTTAGGGTGGCTACTCTTTAGAGGTGAGGGACCATGACAACCCCCCTCCTCTTTCCTCAATTTTTTTTTTAAATTTAAATTTTATAACTTTTTAAGAAAACAAATTAGGTTGACAGTTGGCGCCTCCCCACCTCTGAAATAAAGTTTTCTCACTATAACTAAAATGAAAATGATATACATGATCAAGCTTAAATTAAAATGTAGGGCCCTAACCCCATATATGGAAAAGAAACATTCTGCTGCTGATGTATGAGCTGGAATCTTTACCAGTCACTTGAGTGCCAAGCACTAAATGCTCATCGCTGTTTCATTGCCATTATTCGATATATTTTAGGTATTATAGAATATGAGTTTTTTTTTCACTCACTAATATATATCACCCCAATTATAATACTAACTATAGAGTTAAAATATGAAACAATAATAACATACATAATTAAAGTAATATATAAAAGTGAGCAAACTCGCGATTAGAAACTAATTAATGCTTTCTCTCATTTCATTTACATAATATTTTTTTCCTATAAATTTATTTAATAAACATTAAATAAATTGAGTCTGTATTTAAATTGTTTTACTTGACATTAAATATTAATTGCGCCGATGCGTCACTTCTAAAATGGGGAACATTAGTTAGGTACATTAATAAGGAACACTAAGGTCATGTTTGATGCATAGTATAGGATAAGGCTTGATAGTATAAGACTTGATAGTATAAGGCTTGATTGTATAAGACCTGATTAAATTTTAATACTATCCAGCATTTGGTGTGACCTTGTATAAGATAATGCATTGTATAAGATAATACTATCCAGTGTTTGGTAATGCATTGTATAATACTAGATAGGATAAAAATAAATTCTTTTGACAAAAATACCCTTTAACAAAGAATTAATATAATTCTTCTAAATAAGTCATGATATTAAAATATAAAAATTTAACATTAACATCACATAAAATTAGAAATAATAAATCAATTGAATAAAAAGATAGTATATTTCTGTTGGTTTTTCATCGCAGTATATTTTTTGAGCAAATTGAACTTAATAAAAGTATCACGTACAATGAGGTCATGTTTTATCAAATCTAGTTAGGAAGGGACATATTATCGAACAGATGGAGGGCATGAGGAATGAAGAGAGATACTGCACAGAATCATGAGGGCAAGCTTAAGAGGACCAAATTGAAGTTCGGCCCAACTGAGAGTGCATACATTAATTGGTGGTGAAGTCTAAGCCTTTCGAATAGAAGCGAGCAGCTTTTGGAACATCCTTGTGTAGTTGTAATATCCATCTGAACGACGCTGCCATCAGGGCCGCCGTGTGTGTTTCACGCTTCTTCACAGACGCACACACAGACGTGGAATGTATCTCACAGACGTGGCAGACGGATGGTGGCGGAGGGAGAAGAGAAGTGAGGGCTACCGGGAAGAAAGGGGATGAAGAAGAAAGGGGTATAAGGGGAAGAGAAAGGTGAGAAGTGATTAACCTCTAATCCATCGATTCTTAACAGGTCTAATCCGGCACTCTCAGACCTGATTAACTTATACATCATTTTGATGTATTAAGTGATCATGCTGTATAAGCTTATACTATACAATAGTTACATCAAATAACTGAAAATGTCATAATGTATAATATAAGTTTATACTATCAGGTCTTATACGTTACACCAAACAGGCCCTAAACATTAGGTACTGCTCTGTTTGAAGTTTGAACAATAATTTTCCGTAACTGAATCCTTTACTTCCGAACTTATCATCACAAATATGATGAACGTTAAGCTAACATTAAGCTTCCACGTGTCTTTTTACTTAGTTTTCTTAATCCCAAAAATGAGCATATGAAAATGATTTTGAAATTTCATGAAATAAACCCCATAAAATAATGGACGAGTGATTATCATTAGAGAGTGTTAACGCGCCGAGCCGAACCGAGCTTTGATTTTTAAAAGCTAAGCTTGTGTTTAAATGTGTCAGTCTGACCAAGCCTATTACCTGTTATAAATATAATTTCAGCCTGAGGCCTATTTTATTTATAAAAAAATTAAAGCCTGACTTAGCCTGTTTAAAACAAAATAAGATAACAAAAATTTATCCAAACAAAATATACAATCAACAACACTAGTAATTCCATAAATATTCATAAATTTAATGTATATCCAAAAAACATAATATAAAACAAAATTATTCAAAAAGATTGTTTAATTAATAAAATGGGATAAAATGGATTGATGAGAGAGAGAGCTATCACAAGTAGTATAAAATAAAAATAAAAATTAATATATTAGATCAGCCTGAGAGGCTCCAAGGCCGAATTTTTTAATTGGAGCCTGAAACCTTTTTATTAAACGAGCTTTTATACAGGTCCTAGCATGTTTCTAACAATCAATTTTAGACATAAAAGCTCAGGCCTTCACGAGTCAAGCCAAAAGCCCCTGGCTCGTTTAGCACCCCTAAATCCTAATTATCATGTTATAAGAGATAATATCTCCTAAGATCCGTATTTTCTTTTCTTTCTTTTCTTTTCACATGAGTCCACGTGAGTTCTACACCTTTTTATATGTATAAAAAATAAAGTTATTTCCTACAAGAGAAATCAATGTGTTGGAGCTGGGTGGGTCGACCAATTTTATGTCAAATTGTATAAAATATGGGTTCATTTTTTCTGTTATCACTGCAGATAAGTTATCTGCATTGAGCCCAATACGACATTATTTTAGAGCAAAAATTATGGTATTTTTTTAATTTTAAATTATTTCAGGGTTATTATAGTCTTTATTATTATAATTTTTTAATTTTTCAAATCAAAATGTCATCGTTTTGGGAATGAAGGTAGATAACTTAACTACCGTGACTGCGAAAATATTTTTTTCATAAAATATATGGAAAAAATATTTGTCCTTTTAATGGAAATAAAACTATGTCATTTTAAAAGAGAGAAAGACACAAATTAATTTTTTATTTAAAATTTAAAATAAAAAAATCATTCGTTTTCTCTTCAATAATTTTCATTGCTCGTATCATTCTTTATTTTAAAATGACATAATTCTATGTCATTTAAAAAGAAAAATGCAAATCCAAAATATATCCATTTTGTGGATCAAAAGTACTGAATCACTTTTATTTGTTCAACATAATATTTATAATTTAATATTTATTATATATTATTTAAAAAATTAATTGAACCTGATTGGATTACTAATCCAATATGTCAATCAAGTCGACGAGCGGGCCAAATTTTAAAACACTCAAAAATTATTCCCAAAAAGAAATAGGATGAAGATTGGAAGGCTTCCTAAATAGGCACACGAAACGAATCTCCATTACATCAAAATCTCTTCCTTTTACTTTTTTTTTTTTTTTTTAATGGTGGAAGTTGGAAGAGTGCCGTAACTCTGATACTTTTGTCCTCTTGTTGAGTACTCTTTCAGGAGAAAACGCTTCCGCATGCGCACGCACGCTTCTCCAAAGAAACTGCGTAACCCTTTCATTATTACTCGAATCGGAGATTCAGTGTTTGGAGAAACCCAAATCAAGATCGTTTCTTTTTTGAAGATTCAGTTTTTTTGGCTCCCTGCTCCAACTGGGTTTCCTCCAATTTCTCATAAAGGGTCTTCTGTTCTACTAGATTATTGAATTCCCAATTCGTATTTTTGTTTAATTTTTTTATTATTATTGGAAGAGATTTTTTTTTTTTTTTTATAACATGGATTTTGGTGGTGGGCAAGGGTCATTGTCGAGATATACTTTTCTTTTTTCCTCGGTAAGATCATTCGTAGGTTGAGAATTTGTTATGTGACGATGATTTCTATGCCTCGGTTGGCTCAGTCTACCATTGTTTTTCTTGGGTTTGAAGGGATTACTTGGTAGTAAGTAAATAATTTAGAAGTGTACTATAGATCACTGCAAAATTCTTGGAGGGATTAAATTTCGTTAGTGGGTTTTGGAGATCAGAGGTGTGTCTCTCGGTAGTTTTGCGGAAAAGTGTTGTTTTTTCCTGCATAATTGTTGGGTTGATTTCGGGATTAAAAGGAATAGAAGGTGAGGATCTAGAGAGGATTTGGTGATTTGTGTTGTTAGTAGTTGGGAGGTTGTTGTGGTGAATGTTGTTTGTGTAATCTGTTGCATTGCAATGTCTGGTGGAACACCGGTTGGTGTAGGTGGATATATGAGGCAGAGACATAGCCAGGGGTATGCAAGCAGTGGTGATGACCTTGAAGATGATGCATGCTCGAGGCAGCGTTCTTTTCAGCTTCCAAATCCTCCACGTAGGACATGGGTTGAGATGTTGGAAAATTTTCTTTGGCTTGCTTCAGCAGCTTTCATTCTATACCTTGGTGATCAGCATTCCAATTTTATATATCTCTTGTGCTATGACAACCGAATCAGAAGGTAACAAAAACATTCCAATTGCTCTCTCATGCGTTATGGTTTGAATTATATTTATAAACTGTCATTGCTTCTTTAGTTCAGAATAATTCACCTCAAAGTTTATTATTTCTTTGTTGCTTACTAATCTGTGCCGCGATGCTGTGCACCGGTTATATGATTATGGTAGGGCTTCCCCCCTCCTCTAATTGTTAATTTGTTATACACATAAGCAGGATTAAATACATCTAGTTTATAATTCATTGGAACGGTCAAATTAATTTGAACGAACTAATTCAGGAATATCGATCCAATTCTAATTAACCAACCTTATAAAAGATTTGATTCATGATCATGACTAAACATGGAAAAATAAAATGATAACAAAGACACAAACCAAGTTAACTGCAAATCATATAGTAATAATACTACAATAAAAAAAAAAAAAAACAAGTATAATACTATAAGTAATAAAACATTGCATGCAAATTGCTTCAGAACTTTCCTACAAGTATAATACTCTAATATGCTTACAAAAATCTAAGTTGAAGTGTCAACAGGGGATTGCTTTAATTTTGTCGACATTATTTTTGTAATGAAGATTTTATATAACCTTTTTCTTTACCTTGACATGTGTGGTGCTTACTCCAAGTATGTAATAACTGACAACTGCTTAAAACTAAAGGAAACCAAATTACACTCTAGATGAATTATAAAAAAAGAATTACATATAATTCTCTTCATAAAAGAAATGACATACCATGCCTTCCTGAACAACATTCAAGCTGCACCTCCTCTTCAACAAATAAAGATGCAGCCACGGAAGTGAAAACAACTGTGTGGAGAATAAGCATTTCAAATATTTTGTTCTGGAAGAATAATAAATGTGAACTTCATATATTTGTTCAGGAAAACGAATATTTTGAACTTCATATTCTAATAGATGTGAACATGTGAAGAATAAATTAGGGGCAGAAGAATAGCGTCTTGGGCAGTAAAAACTGATATAATGTGAATTGGCAGTAAAAGCTGTTAGAATGTGAATTGACATGTAGTCATGAACAGTAAAAGTTCAGTGGTATGCAGAAGCTCTCTATTGTAATTTTCATAGATGTACTTATCATTTATGGATTATTCTTGTACCAAAGATGGTGGCAGCAAGCAAATAGTTGCAAAGACTTGACTAGGTTAACCCGCATGGTCAGTTTGGAGGTATAATTGTTCTGGCACATGTTGAATATGTGAATTATATGGCTTGAAAGTATACATAGAGCTGCTTAAGTAAGAGTTTTTCCTTACTGATCATTAATTGAAGGCCTTGCCAACTATCGAGTTCACCACATTGTGAGCTATGAACATTGGGGGAGCGGTAAGGAACTAAGGATATGGGTCAACAATGTTTTGTCTTCAAGCGTGCTTTCATATTTAATTGCCATGAAAATACTTAGGTCAAGATTTGTCATTACTTAGGATAATTGTGAATTTGGCTATTTTAGAAGGTATAGAAATGATAGGCTTTCAAACAACTTATTGATTGATGCCCTAATTGGTTGGAAGCAAATATTACTAGTCATAAGAACAGATTATGATACAAGGTATGCATGCAATGATTAAATAGTCATTCCTGAACATGAAAGCAGTCTATAACCCATAGCATTCCTGTTATTGTGTGGGTAATTCTTGGCTAAATTTTATCAACTCCCAGCTATCAACTTGTATGTACCTACTATGGATATATTAAGCTAAATACTCTCCTAAGTCCTAACAGATATCTTGAAGTGGAATGATTTATGTTATGCTATTTGACTGGATCTTCCCTATCCAATTGTAATAAAAGAACCTGATTTGATGATGTATGAGTATGGCTATACCTATTTGAAGATATCTGAATCTGCAAATTTTATAGTTGCTGTGATTCTGAGAGATTCTAATACTTGACTTTTAATCAGTATCACAATTTTCATGATCTTCTCCTTAGTTCTATTGCAGACTGCCTTTATATCTTGGGATGATAGGTATTGGTTTGAACGCATTGTTTTTCATTTATACAAGTATCTTGGCTTGGAGTGTTAGAAGGTTTGATGAAAAATGGGGATTAAAAAAATGGGAAATAACAAGTATCTCTGTGTTGCCATTCGCTACAGTGTTTGGAATCATCTCTTTTTGCTTGTAAGTAACGACCAGTTCTTCAATTTTTATTTTTGTTACATGTTATGTTTCCCTGTTTTGCTGACTCTCTATTCATTACCTGTCTAGGTTCTCCTTTGCTTTGTGGCCAATATGGAGTTTCTTGACTCTTCCTCTTTTGGTATAGCAACGGTTTTGTTTTACATTTATTGTGTTGTTTTATTCCTATCTACGTTCTTGTTTTACTTATCGCCACAAGGTAAAATTGTGTTAACCACCTTATTGCGCTTATATTCTGCAGTTTACACTATTCATGGCTTTCATGGTAGTACTCCCTTACCTCATTGTTGGGACACTCCGGCCTCAATATGATGAACTCCGTACAGATTAAGACTCATGATTCGAGTGAGGAATAGGAACTGACTTAGATAAAAGAGTTTCTAACACATATATGTCAATGATTGATTGGTTGCCGTTGCTATGTGGTTTGAAGTTTTGTCTCCAAGTAGCATGATGTATTACATGTTATGTTTTCGTAAATTGGTGCTAAGAGTAAGAGCTAAAATTCTTTTCCTTACAATCACACTAGCTTAAGGTGATGGTCAGGCGGCTGGTCTTAGTTGCTAAAGGTTGAGTTACAGGAATTATGGTTAGAAGTTTTTTAGTTTTGTGAATTGTGATGATATACAGCATTTTTGCAATATTGGTTTTGCGTGTCTATTTAGTTTATACCACCCCGCCTCCAAACTTAGGATTTCTTTTCTGAATGGCTGCATCTCTTAAAAATTAAAAAAGAAGAGCTCAATATTTCTGCTCTTTACGCTTTCAATTATTTCCATTTTGCTCACAAAGGCAGAAAACGTTTGAAACTCTTTTGACTGAGAAGACAATGTATTTTAGTTTATGCATCCAAACTTTGCATGCTTTTAGCCTTAGCAGATTGATTACTCGAGACTGAAAGATCATGAGGAACTTAACAACAGAACGTGAAATGTAAACGTATAGGTGTAGTGTGGTGTGGCTGCTGCTGCTGCTTTTTTATTTTTTATTCTTTTGGTGTAGGCAATTGCTCATGCACTTTTGGACTAGAGTAGTAAAATACTCTGTGAAATACTGATTATACATTTCGACTCCCGACATGCAAAATGGATACAATAAATGGTGTCTGGATGGCCTTTTTTTCAAAAGAAAATAAGTTCTTGAGTAAGCAGGAGTTAAAAGTCAATTTATTTATTTTTTAAAGTTAATTTTGTCACAACCCCACTTGAACAATATCTATGATTCTATATAGGTGTTCCATGTCTTTCCCTACAGTTTCCCAATTGCTTCCGTTCTGTTTTTAAATTATAGAGTTTTGTATTTTTGCCACACTTAGAGGCTATAATACGTCAAGGATGTATGTCTTTACATGTAATTAACCCATGATATGAGTGACTTTTAAATTTAATTTAAAAGTCACCACACCTCTCCACTATCATTTTTGGTGATTATACATATATAAAGTATTTATTAATTTTAATATTCAAATAATTTTTTTATTTCAAAGTATTTTTTTTTATGTATTTCATCCGAGGATAAAATAATTTTAACTTAAAAAAATCTTAAAAACATTCATTTGGATAATTGGTCATCTCATAACTCATCTTTTCGGGAACAATGATCATTTTGCCATGTTATTGGCAAAAATTTATCGGAATGCCACGTTTTTTAAACAATTTGCTAAAATGTCACGTCACCAAAAACATTACAACATCTGGTGTTTTACGTTTGAACAAGTGACAGTGAGTTTAAGGCCACGTAAACTTGTTGAACAATCTAGCATTTTTCAATCAGTCAACATGTCAGGCCTACGTCACTTTATTGTATAGCGCGTGATATTTTGACACGTGGAGAGAGAGGACTAAAGTCGTTGGATAGTGTATAGACTATAATGTAACGTGGCATATGCATATGGACTATCCATAGAAAAACGATAAAAACGATTTAATGTCCAATAAATGTTGATTTGTTTTTTGTTTCCTTTTTGGAAAATATAATATACAATAAAGACGATTTTGTTTTTCCAAGTAACGTACAAGCATGGAAAACATTTAATAGTTGCATGATTCAAAACCTACTGTTATTAGCTCAGTGAATTAATCAATTCTGCAAATTTAATGTCCAATAAATGTTGATTTTTTTTTTTTTCTTTTTCAGAAAATATAATAAACAATAAAGGCAATTTGCTTTAAGGGAAATATTTGCCAGAATTTATTAATTTTTAATTTAATGTCCAATATTTTTTTTTGCAGAATTGATTAATTCATCGGGCTAATATAACTTTAAGGAAAATATTTGATATAATTTTATTAATTTTTGATTTTGATTTATTGCAGAATTGATTAATTCATTGGGCTGATATGGTTGGATTGAATCATGCAACTATTAAATGTTTTCCATGCTCGTATACGCTACTTGGAAAAGCAAATCGCCTTTATTGTTTATAATATTTTTCAAAAAGAAAACAAAAAATAAATCAGCATTCTATATGCATATGCCACGTTGCACTATAGTCTCTGCACTATCCAGCGACTTTAGGCCTCTCTCTCTCCACATGATTTTAGTCCTCTCTCTCCACTTGTCAAAATGTCACGTAACACGTTGTATGACGTAGGCTTGACACCTTGATTTGTTGAAAAAATATTGGACTGTTCATCGAATTTGCGTGGCTTCAAACTCGTTGTCACATGTCTAAATGTAAGGCTTCAAACTCGTTGTCACATGTCTAAATGTAAAATGTCAGGTCTTGTAACGTTTTTTATGATGCGGCATTTTGACAAAAATTTTAGAAAACGTGGCATTCTGATAACTTTTTACCTTATCACATGGCAAAATTGTTGTCCTTACCTTTTCGCTATATTTGTTAGGAATATATAAGGTCTTGTGTCCGTCTTACCATGGAAATGAATCTCGTAAAGGATTGACATTGTACGGCTGGTGATACACCATTGGACTTGCGTACTTCGGTTACTTTACTTTGGTGCATGATGGCGTGGCAAAATTGAGACCTGTGGAATCTCTTGCAAGAGCCTGACCCAAGTTTTGTATGGTTTAGGCCTTGTGGATTGTGTTGGTCATTAAATTCGTCTCGTCGCTAGCATTTTTGTGGATGCTTTTATACTGAAGTAAATTGGATTCACAGCAAATTAAATAAATTAATAATAGAAAGAATTCTCGCCAACCCACCACAGGCACAGCCCAAAAGTGAGGGACATATATGGTGAGTTGGTGACCTTAGGGAAATTCCATTGCGCAAAGCCGAAAAGGCTTTTTCTTTGATTTTGAAAAGAGAAAAAAATGAGGTTGATTATATGCAATTTTACCTTGACATTTTTTTTATAGAGAGATTGTTATTAAAATTATGTGATCATCCGGTCAGAAAGAATAATTTTTACTTCTCCAAACCTCGCTCTCAAAATCGCCTTAAGTAGTAGGCCGATATATAATTTACGATATTTCTTGTAAATTGTTAGCATGTAGTTTACTACAACTACCAGAAAAATCATAGGAATTGAGGGGGGAATGAGAAATTTAATGGTAAAGCCTGAGCCACAAAATAAACAAGACAAGGACCTCAACCATCTCTTGTCCCAAAGGATGAGAATGACATATTTCAACTTCAAAAAGGAAAAGTGGCTTCATTGATCCTTACCATCCTTAGTGCTCATCAGATTTGCACAACCCATTATTGGTATACATTGAATTCTGAAATTTTCTACTTTTTTTTTAAAAAAAATGTAACTGTTTGTGATAGGGAAGCTCCGAAAAAGACTTCGCTTTTGCGGAATGGGATGAGAGCAATAGCTAAATATGATTGTGATTTGTGACCACTTAAGTTCATATGCAAACTCAGCACCCTACTTCGTTTTTATCACAAATCTCTATGCAGCTTTTTGAAGGATGCACATGGCCTTACGTTGGTTGTGTTCAGATTTCTAACATCACGAGTAGGTTCTAATGAAACGGACAATTCGGGTATATATGAAATGTTTCCGATCGTGGTTAAGTTTTCTTGATAGGACCCGTCATTGTAGAATGCTAAAAGTTAGAATTCTCAATTAACGATGCTAAGCAATATATATTATATATGGTATTTTCTTTTATCATTTAGTTGTAGAGCCAAGGAGTACATGTCAAGGAATTCAGGTAGACATCAATTGTCATTGGAACTTACTCTGCAGCAGTATATGTGTATCACAGAACATTGTGATGAACAAGTTGTTACTGAAAGTAGGGTTTAATCAATATCATATATACACTCAAATAGCCGATCTGTCTTAAAACTTTTGCAGAAAGAAATACAGTTTAGTGGGTCCATTTTAGTTACGTCATGTAATTGGAATTATTGCTCCAAATGGGAATATAAAAAAGGAGATGTGTCTGCTTAATGGTCATTGAGGTTGAAAGGTTATACTCCTTAGTAGCTAAAGCGTAAAAGAACTCTTAACATGTGATTAGGAGTATCCAGCTGGAAAGGTATTTCATGTCAAGGATCTTACGTGAGGAATGAAATCCCAGTGATGTGGAAAAGTATGGCACACTCGAGAAACGTATCTTTGCAAATAAGATAGTGTGCTGCACTCATGTTCCATTAGTTAGGAGTTATGAATTAGAGCCAACCCCATTGGAAAAGTAGCAGATTTTGGTAAACTAGGAAGCTAAAAACAATACTCTCACTCACATTTCTTATGCGAGCCGTGTATTATTATAGAGAGCAGTCTTGTTTCCTGATGTAATTCGAAATGGGTATATATATATATATATATATATGAGGTAGGATCCTTTGATACTGGTGTCAAATTTTAATTTTGACACCTCATCTGAGAGCCGTTAGATCAAAAAATATCAACGACTATGATTTGCAAGCATGTGACACCTTTGATCTTTTTTTATCTTTTTTTGATCTAACGGCTCTCAGATGAGGTGTCAAAATTGAAATTTGACACCAGTGTCAAAATTGAAATTTGACACCAGTGTCAAAGGATCCTACTATATATATATATATATATATATATATATATATATATATATATATATATTTCAAACTATTTACCAATTCAATGCAAGTAAAAGGCATACAAGAGTATATACATTTAAGTCGCACATTAACCTCATGTAACTTGTGTAAAAAAAAAATGTATTATCATGTGTTGCTTTGTGCAAAATACATGTAGAGACCTATATAACTTGAACGCACACTATTGTAATGCGAGTTTTGTATTACACTAATTTTTACACAAATCACGTATGAAGGTTATGCCTAACTTAAATACGCAACTTTGAAACACATTTCACAAAAAAAATGTATTATCATGTGTTGCTTTGTGCAAAATACATGTAGGAACGTACGTAACTTAAACGCACTACCATAATGCGTGTTTTGTATTACACTAATTAATTTTTAGATAAATCACGTATGAAGGTCATACATAACTTAAATACGCAACTTTGAAACACATTTCACTCTCATTAAATTGATTAAAAAAACAACGTATATAACAAACATTAAGCTCAGTGGTATCAAAGGGCAAAAGCGCTTGAAGGTAGGCGGCTAGTTATAATAATCCAATCAGAATCAGAATAATTTTGAGCAAAGTGGTAAGTAGTTATTAACTCAGCGGTAAACCCTCTAGCATGGCCCATTTCTAATCATATGCAAAGGATGATAGGACACCCACTCCTACCAACAAGCCATCAAAATTACCAAATTGCCCTTTGGTGGAGTAGGAATAGTGTGTGATCATGCAGATGCTGTGCTGCAGTGGGTCAAACAAAACAAACAAACACCCCGCAACATCTTACATTGTATTATTAAATATAAGTTGGACTTGGAGGGAGTTTTTTCTGAAGAGGTGGGCCCATGTTAATTTGTTCTGAATCTTTGTCTGTCATTCATATATCTCCGTGTTTGTGTGTGCAATTTTTCTTTGTTCAAAAACAACAGTACCGAGTAGTTGTTGTATCGTATTGTATTGTATTAATTTGGAGATTTGACTTCCAATTCCATAACCCCTGAGTCTCCTAACAAACGTACAAAACAATAGCTATCTTCCAACCTAAGTTGTCAAATGTTCTTCTTTTCTCCAATCTCCAATAAGCAACCACCAAGGTGTCAACATTTTTTTTTCTCTCCTTCTTTAATGGTTTTGCTTTGCTTTCTTTTTTTCAATTTTTCAATTCTCTCTCTCTCTCTCTCTCTCTCTCTCTCTCTCTTTAGTCTTACCGTCTCTGCTTCTAGTTCTCTTGTTGAACACACTCTTATGCTTGGTAGGTTGTGCCGTTGAAGTGATGGGCCCTAAACTCCACTGAAGTTTAATGGTAAGAACCAACCAAAGAGGTCTCTTTACCTCTTTCAGTGCTTCCCTTTTGCCCCCAATTTCGCGCTGTCTCGCATTTTAGGTTTTGCCCTCTTTTTAACTCAGAAGATAAGATTTAGGGCATTTGATTTGACTTCATTCTTGTGGAGTTTCTGATATTCCACATGGGTGTCGTTGATCATGTTGTGTGATTGTATTCCTTGAGTTCTTGCCTCATAGTTGCAGAAACATACTTCAAATTTCATTCTCAAATCTCAATTTTTCTTTTAAGTGAAAGTGAACTGGGAGAAGAAGAAGGGGTTTATGGGGCTGGATTCTCTCGAATTTCGTGTTGGGTATGGCGTTTGAGGGATAAAGACTTGATTTTGGAGGTGCAAGTGGTGGAGGTATCCCTGTCCCTGAAGCATAGGAGCCCAGAAAGATGGACAGAGTTATTCAACCTCCTTTGGTAATTTGCTTGTACGCTTTTCTTATCCCGTTTTTCTTTTTACTAGTTTTTATGTTTATGAGGTAAACCAATGCTAAGTTGGTTTGACTTCCCTTTTTGTATTGTCATTTCTTTGGAAATTATTGAACCTCTTGGATGTTTGGACCATCGGAGTTTGGTCTTCATGTATCCATGTTACTGATCCAATTGTTGAATTTTGTCTTGCCCTAATGTGCTGTATATGAAGAGCTTCAGAAAAATTTTATCTGTAAATGTTAAGAGCTTTAATAATGACTCTTTTTAGGGGGTTGTGAGGATGAGGGGAAGACTTTAGGGATCGGTGCTTGAAGATTCTGATTGTTTTAAGGAGTTGAGATATTTTTTTCTATTGAATGCAATTACTCACTGAACATTTCTTTTCTTACTCTTCAATTTTCTACCTATTACATTTGAACCTCCCTGAAATATGGTCCAAGTACAATTTCTGTGTGTCAGTTTCTATAAATCGTTTAAACGTTGCTATAGGTTTTTGAGCCACAATAGATGAGAAATGCATGCAATTAAATGTATGTTATAATCTGGGTGTTTAGATAGGGACAATATTTTGCATAGCCCCACTGCCTAATTCTCTGTAATTTGAGACCTTTTTTGCTTTTTCCTAAACGTTAAGCACGATGATCTTCTTGAATTTTTTGGGATTGTTGGCATTAAAACTGATGGATGAGTTGTCTTCAATCATGGACCAGTCATTTCTTAGGCTTGAGGTCTGTGTACTCTGACATATTCTACCTCCATGGACTCTATGCAAGTCTCTTTACATAAAACCTTCAAATACCTTATTATATAGTGTGTACCAACTCATGCAGTTCAATTTCCATTGAACTGTCATAAAGCTCATTATTGATTTTATTTCTCATGATTTAGACATTGGTGATAAGCTAATATGTACATAGAATTTATCTAAGCCTGAAAGATTACTCTCATTAATTGTAAGTTCAAGTTCGCAGTAAACAAGATGCTCTGTCTGCTGCTTCTCAATTGCTGTTTGCATCAGATGCGGAGACAGATTATTTCTCATGTTTGAGTTCATAAATCATAACTTGAGATGCTAAAGAAAAAAAAAAAAAGATGTGCTTTCATTTTAATTAAAAGTGCAGCTAAACAAATTTTTTGTTTCAAATGTGTTTGTGCAGGTTGATACAACTGCATGTTTATGCAGAGTAGATACAGGCCTAAAAACTGTTGCTGGAGCGAAGAAGTATGTCCCGGGAACAAAGCTCTGTCTTCGGCCTGACATTAAACCATCCATTCACCCAACTAGGAACAAGCAGGCACGTGGTGACAGAAGCCGCAATCAATCCCCACTACTTCCAGGACTCCCTGATGATCTTGCTATTGCTTGCCTAATCAGAGTACCACGTGTTGAACACCGTAAACTCCGGCTAGTCTGTAAAAGATGGTATCGTCTTTTGGTTGGTAATTTCTTTTACTCACTCCGCAAGAGTCTTGGAATTGCGGAAGAGTGGATATATGTCATTAAGAGAGACCGAGATGGGAAAATCTCATGGCATGCTTTTGATCCTGTGTACCAACTATGGCAGCCCCTGCCTCCTGTTCCTAAGGAATATTCTGGGGCTCTTGGTTTTGGCTGTGCTGTTCTCAGTGGCTGTCACCTGTACTTGTTTGGTGGGAAGGACCCACTAAAGGGATCCATGAGACGTGTCATTTTTTATAGTGCTAGGACAAATAAATGGCACCGTGCCCCTGATATGCTTCGCAGGCGGCACTTCTTTGGCTCCTGCGTCATAAACAATTGTCTGTATGTGGCTGGTGGGGAGAATGAGGGTGTGCACCGGTCCTTGAGATCAGCTGAAGTGTATGATCCCAACAAGAACCGATGGTCATTTATTTCAGATATGAGCACTGCAATGGTGCCTTTCATAGGAGTTGTCTATGAAGGGAAGTGGTTCTTGAAGGGACTTGGTTCTCATCGGCAGGTTCTAAGTGAGGTCTACCAGCCGGAGAATGATAGCTGGTACCCTGTTCATGATGGAATGGTTGCTGGCTGGAGGAACCCTTGCACTACCCTTAATGGACAGCTCTATGCCTTAGACTGCAAGGATGGCTGCAAACTTAGGGTTTATGATGAGGTTGCTGATTCATGGAGCAAGCATATTGACAGCAAAATGCATTTGGGGAACTCGCGGGCTTTGGAGGCTGCTGCTCTTGTCCCCCTCAATGGGAAACTCTGTATCATCCGGAATAATATGAGCATTTCTCTGGTTGATGTTTCAAAACATGAAGATTTGAAAGGATCGTCTGCTGAACAGCTATGGGAAACTATTGCAGGGAAAGGACAGTTCAAGACCTTGGTCACAAATCTATGGTCTAGCCTTGCTGGGAGAAACCGACTCAAAAGTCACATAGTTCACTGTCAGGTTCTTCAAGCTTAGAAGTTGTATAGTGATGAGCTTTGGTCGAGGTACTGCATCTCATCTTGATGATGTATGTTTGAGAAGCTGGGCCAAATTTTAACGGAACACAATGGTGCAGTCTATTGTTACATTTCATCTCAAACCCTAGGGTTCATACTCATCACAAGCGATGATACATAGATGAGATGTTTTACTAATCATATAGTGCTACAGACATGGTCATATGGATACATAGTTGTTACATTTTGAAAATTGAGTAGGCTGTTTACCAGGTCACATGGTTTATCATTAGCTTGTGTTTTGTTTTGCTGTAACCAATGTATAACATGAAGATGACGAGCATGTTGGACGGGGGAGAAAAATAATACTTAAGAGTCAGTTTGTTATTCTCATAAAATTGAGGGTGAAAAATTCAAGAATAGTTATGAATATAATTTTTCATAAAAAAACTCATCTATGAATTTTTCACCCTCATTTTCGGTAGTGACATGGAACTGATCATCAGCTCTTAACTTACACAACTCTTGCATTGCATATACATATTCGTGTACAATTGGTATCTGGTTTACTGGTGAAATGCTGCTGGGCTTGCCCTGAAGTTTATACTGTGATCAAACACTGCTAGCCTGTTTGTGTTAAAGTTTACACCCCTCAAATTGTAGTTTGGAGTGTTCCAACAATTGCAAAATGACATATTTGCTAAAATTGTGATTGGATTGTGTTTGAACATGATTTTGAGTCTAAAATTATAATTTGTATATAAAAAAATGTACTTTTTCATTGGATCAAAACATGATTTGTAAATTATAATATAAACATCATAGATGTATAAATCTTTGTTTTAACCATCAAATCCTGGGTTATTACCTGAATTTCTACACGTTTAAAACATCAAACTCAGATGGTGCGAACTAGTATGACTTTTTTTTTTTTGGAGATAAACTAGTATGACTTTATGTGATGTTGTTGGACCCCTAAAATGGGTTTATGAACGTAGGAAGAAGCAGAATAAAGATAAAGGCCATAGTGATCAGCCCATTGCATTGGCAGATTCGGACAAGCAGCCCATGACAGTAAATGTGCAGGCCATGGCAGATTCGTTGGGTGATCAACATCAGCCCATTGCTTCTTCGGGTGGCCAAGGCTTGGTGAAACAGATAGTGCTGGCTGTTGAGAAGAAAAGCACTGCAAGAGAGTTTGGTATAAAAGAGCACACGTGGCAAGCGTTGAATGGGGCATACCATGTGGGAGGGGAATGGGAGAAGGGAATCAGTGGCTAAATAGGAAAAAGAGAGTAAGGGAAGTTAGTTAAAAAAAGTTTGTAAGAAAAGTATGGGTAGCTTGATGGGGAGTGGGGTTTTCTTCCTCGTTGAGAATAACCATTGTTAGTAGCTGAGTATTTTACTGGTTCAGTATTTGTAATTTCCTTCAAGGTGTCTCAAGCGGTCCGTTGTCAGTAGTCCATTCTGAGTACTGTTTCATTGTTGAGCGTTAATCACTGTTTGTAAGAACTCAATTGCAATTCAAGTTTTAGTATATTTTCCTGTTTATTATCTGTTAATCTTCTGGTGCCATCAGATGTCTATGGAGTTCTTTCGTAGATTGGCAAGTATGCGGTAATGATAGTGATGCTTGCCCGTATCAGACCAAGCAGAATTTACTAAAGTCATTAGATGTTCAAACTGATGCGTAAGGTTAGGTGCCTGTGCTTCAGCTGAATTTGTCTCGAAATGGATCAAGTTACATTTTTATTTTATAAACTGGTTATTTACCAAACCATAAAAATAAGTGGTTATTCATGATTATCCATGGTTATCCATAACCAAAATGCTCTATTTTGCTTCAAGGTTTTTTTATGCACCAATTTGTAGGGTTCCTTTTTCCAATTTCTTCTCTCTTTTTTCTATTTCTCGGTTCCTTTTCGCACATTTGATTGTTAGTTATACTTAATATTTACAAATTTACAAGATTATTTACTGGTAAGTATTCCTTTTTAATATCTAAATTCTTTTTTAACTTACAGCATTTGAATTTGGAAACAAGAAATATCAAGAACGGTTTTCCCTCCGTGAGATATTTATCAATTTACTTTGCTAATTGATATAATTAGTTATGCTTAAACAAAACCTTTTGACGAAGGAATTCATCTTGAATACTTAACTTTGTGATTTGGCTCTTACCAATTTATGCTATTAGATAACTTTTCTATTAGATTAGTACTTAACTTTGGGATTTGACTCTTATGAATTGTCGTTAACAAAGAAAAAAAGATAGTTTCAATATTAAGTATAACTCTTGTAAATATTATTTACTGATACATTATTCAAAATTTTGGATTTAAATTTGTCATAAAATCAGTTTTGAACTTCATAACCGGTTTATAATTCATAACTGGTTTTGATTTAAAACCGGTTTTGAATTAAAATCGGTTTAAAATCGATTTTCAATCAAAACCCGTTAAGAACCATAAACCGATTTTGGAACCGGTTTGGAAAATTAAAAATCGGTTTTAAAAAAAGAAAACCGGTTCGGTTTGAAAACCAAACCGTTTAAAACCAGTTCGGTTCGGTTTTTGTCAAAACCGGTTATGAACCGCTCCATGCACACCCCTACCAGTGACCCACTGGTTGAATTAGTGACCCACTGACCCGGTACCCCGACCGGGTCGATCACCGGTCCGGGTTTAATAACATTGTAACAAACCCTCCTAATAATTGCTTTCTCTTTTAAAATTTGAACGCTAATGCTTTCTTCTATATTATTAATAATATGTGAATACCATGGTCCTATAAAAAATCTACAACGGAAGAGTGGAAGTACGAGGGCATGTTTGGTGTGACGTATAAGACATGATAGTATAAGCTTATACTATACGTTATGACATTTTCAGTTGTTTGGTGTGACCATCGTATAGTATAAGCTTATAAAATATAATCCCTTAATACATCAAAACGATGTATAACTTAATCCGGCCTAAAGGTGAGAGATAAGGCCTGATAAGAGATTGATGTATTAACATCGTTGACCAATGTAATTCTCAAAAATTAATATATTATTTTAATATTAATCTATTAAAATAAAAATTAATTTTTCAATATAGTAATTTTTAAAATATTGAATATTTTTATTTTTATAAAAATTAATTTATATTTTGGACACATTGATCAATAAATTTTTATAAAATTAATATCATATGACATTTTTTGAAGAATCATATAAATTCTTTATTAAAGGATATTTTTATTAAAAATATTTATTTTTATCATATATAGTATTATACAGTGCATTACCAAATACTAGATAATATTATCTTATACAATATATTATTTTATATAATACCGTGTCAAACGCTGGATAGTATTAAAATTCAATCAGATCTTATACAATCAGGCCTTATACTAGCAGGTCTTATACTATCAGGCATTATCCTATACCATGTACTATATATGCCCTGAATACCATAGAAATATTATACTTACAGAAAGCAAGTCATTGAAAAACAGAGGAGGATTAAGGAAGTCTGTTAACTCCAGTTAAAATAACGAAATTAAAGAGAAGAAATTGTTCACAAACATAAAATGCTTCTTTCACTCCCACTAATTCAGGTAATTTTATTTTATTTTTTTAAATTCAAGTGTGAGTGCGTTAAAAAAGAATGGGCAAATTATAATACATATGAAAGCACTTATAAATCCATTAACCCTTAGTGTTCGAACAGTAAAAAATCCATTTGATGCCCAAAAGTGATATTTAGAAACAATAATTGATTGGCCTGTCTCTACTTAACCCTTAGTGTTTGAACAGTGAACAAGAATGATTATTAGACTAGAGGTATAAATCATCTTTCAAATTTGGTGATTTATCAATGGCTTTTAAAATATGGTTATGAGTTCTGTCATATCGATCCTTCCATTATAATGAAATATAAATACAAAAATATATGGGAAAAGATAGGCAAAAAAAATTAATTTAATGCTTTTTAATAAAATAATTACGTATTTATTACAGTTTTAAGAATAATTACGGATCTACTGCACAATGTGACGCTTCTTTTGGGCATCACATTGTACATCCTATATATTTCCCTTCCACTCTTACAACTCTTCACACCTCTTCTCTCACCTTATATCTCTTCTCTACCAAAATTCCTAACATCATACATACATAATCCTTCATCTTTAATTTAGTATTTGAATTTTATTTCTTATTCTATTTAAGAATGAGTTCAAATCCTAATTATATTCGTGTTGTGTTATATCACAATGGTAGGAAGGTAGAAGGTCGACGAGGTGTCAAGTTTGAAAGTGAAAAAAGGCCGACACGTATCCAACGCAACGCAACCATTGGCGAACTGCATCAGAGAATTCGGCAGAAGTTAAGTCTTCAAGGTAACCAATGTATCACTCAGATCACGACAAGTTATGGCAATGTGATAAATACATTAGTTTGCAAGTAGTTGACGATGAAGACGTGGAGATGACAATGGAAGAATTTTTCAACCAGTCAAGGACAGATTTTCTGGAGTTGTATGTCGACATCGCCGCAACGGAGAATGTTCCATTACCGGTGAGGTCAGTTGATTTAAATTCTCCCCGTCTTCCATCAACGTCTGTCGCTCATGCGTCTCCAGTTGGTAACATTTCTGAGGGAGATAAAAATGATCCGACTTGGGAAATGCACGATGAAGACGACAACGATGACGATGAAAACATCGCAATGGAAGAACGTCTTCTGGCGGAGGATGCTAGTGCTTCTGATGGAGATGAAGGTGGTGAGATGGGTGTGTCTCAAATCCCAGTCTACCACGAACCAGTGGTCGCGCAAATGCCGCAATTACATGACGTTGTGTCTGCCCCATCAGGTAATCATCATCAAGGTAATTGATATAATTTGTATATACCTGAATTGATACCTGATTTAATACCTAACTTAGGAAGTTTGTATTAAAAAGTTTTAATTATCAGATGCAGGTGACGAAGCTGTTATTCCTTTTTGGCAAGGAATTCCGCATTATTCGTACATTGATTGGAATTAT